AAAAAAAAAAAAAAAAAAGAAAGAAAGAAAGAAAAGGAAGAACCTGGGAGTCACCCTATGCTAGAAATACAGGTTTCACCCAGTAGAAGAGATTTAATACTATAAAGAAAATTATAATGGGAAAAAATGCACAGTGAAAATTCTGGATCAGAATGATGATTACTGAGTTATCAACCTAAATGTGCCACATATCCTCAACTGCACCACAGGCAGATCGAAGAAACAAAAACAGGCTGGGCATGATGGCTCATGCCTATAATCCCACCACTTTGGGAGGCTGAGGTGGGAGGATCACTTGAAGCCAGGAGTTCAAGACCAGCCTGGCCAACATGGCAAAACCCCATCTCTACTAAAATTACAAAAATTGGCCAGGCGTGGTGGCGCATGCCTGTAGTCCTAGCTACTTGGGAGGCTGAGACACGAGAATTGATTGAACCTGGGAGGCAGAGGTTGCAGTGAGCCGAGATTGTGCCATTGCATTCCAGCTTAGGCAACAGAGGGAGGCTCTGTCTCAAAAAACAAACAAAAACAAAACAAAACAATCCCCCCAAAACAGTAAATTAAAAGAAGCATTGCATAATCTGTCTTATTTTCTTCCCTGTTTTATGATTCAACTCTAAAATCCTGGGAGTTCAGTGAATGGCTAAAAAATAATAAAATTTCTTCCAGTAAGTGGTACAAATCCAGACAGACTACTTAGATTTTGCTGTCATTTAGTTTACCCAGAGGGTATGGGAATGTTGGACATTAGGGTTTCTAAGCTTTCAAACTGATAGACTCTTACAGTATACTCCTAAGCATTCAGGTTGATATCGCAAATACAGGTAAGCACCAAATGTCATTTAAAAGCCTAAATACAAAACAGATCATAACCCAAAATACTGTCTCTGAAAAAAAATAGGACTACTACAATTGTTTTCAAGATTTTTCATGATTCTAATAAACCCTAAAGATTTTTAAGACCTAATATAGGGAGAAGATTAAGGTATAAACATTTTAAGTTAATCTTATGCAAAATGAATTATACTTCATAAAGGTTTTCTTCCCTTCATTGACAAAGTCCCATACTACCCATACAGAAAGCCCAGAACCTACCGTGCTGCTTGTAAATCTGTTTGTGTAGGCTGTGACGACACCGCATTTGCTTCCAGTAAACAGCTGGCAACTGTCAGGCACCCAAGCACAACTAGTAACCTTTGAAAAAGGACAAATCAAAGATTATCATGTTTTAAAAGAATGAAAAATACTTCTACTTTTCTGAAAACTATTTTTTTTTAATCTCAAAAATGTTAGGTAAACATTTCTTGAAACAGTTAGAAACGTGTCAGATATAATAATATTCTGTAACTTTGAGCCAAATGTCGAAATGTTGTTTCCCAATTAAAATATATTAGAATGTGTATACGCGCCTGTGTGTAGATGTATGTGTATATATGTATATATATTTAGATAAATTTAACACAATGATTCAGGATTGATTAAATCCAAGCTTGAGTGTGAATGTGTGTGTACTTCACACATTTATTTGCTTTTTGCTTTTGTTTTCCTCATTTTATGTCTTTGGTGGGGAAACAGGGTACATATAAATAGAGGGATTGCTTCTAATAGTTCTAAAGATTGTTAAGCAGGAGAAGAAAGGTAGATAAATGTGAATGTAAAAGATGGGATTATGCCTTTGGTACAAAATCCCTCAGTCCTAACCACAGAGGCACCATTCAGGTTTGAGTTAATTTTCTGTGTGGCCTGACAGGTCCTCTTTTCCACACCAGCTGACCCCCACCCTGTGTTGTATTCTTGAAATTTGCTAAGATAGTGGATCTTAAATATTCTCATCACACACATAAAAATGCTAACTATGTGAGGTGATGGATGTGTTAATTAGCCTGACCGTAGTAATCATTTCACAATGTATGTATACATATATTAAAACATCACACTGTATACCTTAAATATATACAATTTCATTTGTCAATTATATTCCAATAAAGCTAGAAAAAAATAAAAAGAATTTTAAACAACTTTATTCAAGCTTTGGATCTGCTAAACTAATAGTCAATTTACTTGGCAAAAACAATTTGACTAAATGCTTGTCTTTGCACTGGTGAAAATATATTAGTGAATTGGAAAGCTTCTTCAAAGTTATCTGTCTATCTTTGTCCTCTCTTCCCAACACATCAATCTAATGTAACAGTACCCAACTCATAAATAGAAGGAATGCCTAGTAATTAAAGGTGGAAAGAATTTGATTGAAAGCTTGTATCTTTAACATTGCATTGAAAACATTCAGTTAATACTGATGATGATTTCATTTATTTTTCTTCACTTTTCATTGGAAAGTCAAGATGTTTGTAAATCCAGATTATTGATGACAGCAATAAATCTGCTCACAAATTTATGTCAGTGTATTTTGACAGGTAGAATGTATTGTATATCTAACTCCCACTGTACATATTTCTGTTTTTCCCAATTTACAATAATCCCAAAAAGGGTGCAGTAAGGGACATACTGATTCTATAATACATTTTTGTGTTTTCATTTATTTTTTAGATTCATTTCCAATTTAGTTTTATTACCAGCTTTGCCATGATTTATGGTTATAACTTGTTTGTGTTTGCATACATATATTTCTATCTGCATAAAAAGGCTCTGATTAATGCAGCCTGATATGTTTCAAAACTAAAAAAAAAAAAAAAATCTTATTAAAGTTCCTAGTAAAGTTGTTTTTCACTGTCTCTTTATTCTTACTTCCATCAGTTTCCTGGTAAGCTATAAACAAATGGTGGTGATATTTTGGTCAGGGATATTGAGGGTTATGCAAACAAGTCACTGCTCCTCTTGCTTTCACTGCTAAAAATTCCCCTAAGTAGCTTCCTCCATTTCTAAAGAGCTCAGGGAATGGGATACATTTTAGGACAGATGATAAGGCAGCAGGTGTTATGTAGGTAATGGAAATCAGATGATGGTAAGAGAACTTCCCATGGAAAGAGAGTCAAAAAAGAAGGCTGTCCATACAATTAAGAGTCAGTAACAGTTCAGCAGCAGTACTGTATATTTACACGGTATTCTACAGTTTACAAGTTTCTTTCACAAACACTGGAAACACTTTACAGCAGCTTTCTGAGAAAGTAGTATGAGTACTATTATCTTGGTTGTAATGAGGAGGAAAGAAACTCAAGTTTGGAGAGGTTAAGTTACTAGTCAAAGGCTGTAGTTAGTATATAACAAAGCTGGGACACTAACAAAGATCACAGGGCTATAGGCCCAGTGATCATGATGCCTGAATATCCAGTCCATTTAGGAAAAATCAGGTATAAAAGATGGCACTATGGTTACAGAAAATGACTTAATGACAAAGGTGAGTGAACACTGAGAAGAAGGCAATGCTGATTTGGTTCAAACACTATGCCCTTTACTGATGTTGAGTAGGAGATTATGATTATACTCTCTCAATGAGAAAATGGGTAGAAAACGAATTTGGGGGACACAAATAGTGGTAGTTAGGAAGTCTGCAAGTACTATAAACATCAGCTTCTCTCTTTTTTTTTTTTTTTTTGAGACGGAGTTTTGCTCTTGTTGCCGAGGCTGGAATGCTATGGCACGATCTCAGCTCATTGCAACCTCTGCCTCCCAGGTTCAGACTGCCCGGCCAGTCTGACTCATTTTTATGCATTGTATTTAACTATTATAAAGATTCCACAAAAACATTTACAAAAGCCAGGCACAGTGGCTCACACCTGTAATCCCAGCACTTTGGGAGGCCAAGGCGGGTGAATCATTTGAGCCCAGGAGTTTGAGGCCAGCCTGGGCAACATGGAGAAACCCTATCTCCACAGATAATATAAACATAATCCAGGCTTGGTGGCACGCACCTGTAGTCCCAGCTACTTGGGAAGTTGAGGGAGGAGGATCACTTGAGCCTGGGAGGCAGAGGTTGCAGTCAGCTGAGATTGTGCTATTGCACTCTAGCCTGGGCAACAGAGCAACACTCTGTCTAAAATTAAAAAAAAAAAAAAGTGTTGACCAGGCACAGTGGCTCACAGCTGTAATCCCAACACTTTGGGAGGCCAAGGTGGGCAGATGATGAGGTCAGGAGATCAAGACCATCCTGGCTAATAAAGTGAAACCCCAACTCTACTAAAAATATACAAAAAATCAGCTGGGCATGGTGGCGGGTGCCTGTAGGCTCAGCTACCCGGGAGGCTGAGGCAGGAGAATGGCGTGAACCCAGGAGGCGGAGTTTGCAGTGAGCCGAGATACGCCACTGCACTCCAGCCTGGGCGACAGAGCAAGACTCTGTCTCCAAAATAAAAATAAAAATAAAAATGTTTACCTGGTACTGTTGTGAACTTTGAATGAAGTTTACTGGAGGCTCACTTTGTTTACTCTTCAACCTTAAAATATTATCAGCATATCCCCAGCTCAGGATGGCTGACCACTGAATGTCCGTACTGTTCATGCTTCTCACACCTCAAGGAGAAGGAGAAAGAAAAGTATCAGATCATTACTGCTCCCTTGTTACATGAAAGCCCCAAACTGGCAGATTAAAGGGTGAAGTTTACATAGCAGAACATATCATTTGGTGCAAAACCACCTTTATATCTCTAAAATGGAACAATTTTTTAGTTTTATTCCTTTAATGCTAACAGGATTCTGAGGGTGGGACTATATTTTTTCACTTGTGTTGTTTTGTCTGGGATTTATTTGATTCAGAACTAAAATTTCTGTTAAGAAATTATTATAAAAGACAATGATAGTCAAGCTTACTCTATTCATGTTCTGAGACACCTTTTCTTTTAAAAATAAATATGAACTAGATACTATTTAACTTTCTAGATACCCAGGATAGACAACTGTTAGTAGCAGGAAGACACTACTGCTAGAGTGGAAGCAACACCTACCCTGAGAAGGGATAATTTAATCCTGTCAACTGCAGGACTGTGTATGGCAGATTTTCATTCAAGGAGGCTCTGTTCTTCTCTCTCTTTTTTTTTTGAGACAGAGTCTTACTCTGTCACCCAGGCTGGAGTGCAGTGGCACAATCTCGGCTCACTGCAACCTCTGCCTCCTGGGTTCAAGTGATTCTTGTACCTCAGCCTCCCCAGCAGCTGGAACTACAGGCGCTCGCCACCACGCCCAGCTAAATTTTTTTGTACTTTTAGTAGAGACAGGGTTTCACCATGTTGGCCAGGCTGGTCTCGAACTCCTGACCTCAAGTGATCTGCCTGCCTTGGCCTCCCAAAACGCTGGGATTACAGGCTTGAGCCACTGCACCCAGCCCTCTCTCTCTTTTACAACATAGTATTATGTTCTCTTGGCATAAAAATTTGGAAATTTTGATATCATTTCCCAGTACCATTAACTATCTATGCTTTGTTGGTATGCTGGATATAGCTAAATGCAGCATAGATGCTGTAAATGGTACTGCCCTTGAAACTTGCAATGTTTTAAGTTCCTAAAGGAAACAGAATATGCTTTCTTTATTCCAGTAGAATACCCAGCATGTAGATGAGTATAACAAATAAATATTTCTTGAATGAATCAACAGCATATTGAATATAGGCAATTCACAGCTTTTTGTTTTGTTGAGTAAAATAAGAAATGTTGTCAACATTTTGCAACAAAGGAATTGGAATCTACTCACTAAATAGAAACTGCTCTAAATATAAGCTGCTAGGGAAAGGAACCACATGAGTCTTGAGTCCTCTCAAAACCTACCATAATGCCTGGCATGCAGCAAGTGCTCCATAAACCAAGGTTTCTCATTCCAGTAACCACAAGAGGCATCATCTTTTTTTTTTTTTTCTTTCAGAAAAAGAAACTTCTCCTTTACCTACTAAGACAGTGTATCTTAAATAGGATCTACTAAAATTGAATCTAAAATTGATTTTCAGAGTGTATAAGCTTGGACTCAAGCGCCAGAGATTCTGATGCAGTGTGTCTCTTGTGTTAACAAGTGACCTAACTTTCATCTGTAAGCTACACTGTTCAGTCAGTGACTCTCTAGAATGTCTATGTGGACTGTTCCTTGCTGGGTCTAGTGTTGGGTGTATCTAGTAAACACTGACCCCTTCCAGACCCTAGGGTGTTTACAGACCAATAAACATTTATTAAGCACTTAGAATGAACCAGGCACTGTGCTCATCATCCTCATAAATTACTGTATTGAATCCTTACAGAAAAGTACCCTGTGAGGTAAATTATTTTGTTATTCCTGCTTTATAGATCAAAAGCCAGGATTTGCAAAGCACGAAGTTAACTTCCCCAAGGACACATAGCTAGTAAGCAGCTGGGCAAGGATGCAAAACTCAGGAACTGTGACTGTTGGGGCCATGGGGGAAACTGTTCTATTACACTACTGCCCTGGACATACCCAGGTTCTGACAAATTCCAAATACATTGTGCGAGGAAATTAAGTGTAATTTGAATGAACATAGCTATTAGGGGCACACTAAGGGTTCATGACTGTAGTGGCACAAAGAAGATAGGCTTAGAATATGTCTGACATGTTTAAGTCCCATAATGCTAAGTGATAATACCCGCTCTTTCTCTTTTGCTCAACAGAGAGAAATTTTACTGTACTCTAATTTTTTAAAGGTAAATAATTCACCCATGTTGGTACTTTGGTATTATTAGTAAATTACTTGTAAATTACCTCATAACTAATTGTAACATACTAGTAAGAATAAACCATTGATATCACAATAATTATGATTAAACAGATCTACCTTATCCTATTAACTCACTAAATGTAGATAAAACGGTATGCATCCTCTCTTATTTCTAACAACTATAAAAACAATCATTCATTTCATGACAGAGATAAGAGTGAGCCTAAAAGAACTACAGCCCAGCTAGCATACCTAATTTCAATACAATAATGTATGAGGATGATGTTTTCTCTGGGTGCTGGCCCCTTTGTATTGCAGTTCGGGTGGAAGGCTATATACGGCTCCCAAGGAGCACAGTGCACAGAAGGTTATGGTAATTGTCAGCAGTGCTGGCTGCTAATGGCATCTAGTCCACACACTGGCTTTTAGGCAAGTCTGCAAATAACCTGATAGAAACAGATGAGTGCCCTAGGTCATTCATTTTGGTGCCCCACATCCATGCCTAGCAAGTAGGAAGAATTCTTTTGTTTCTAGTGAAATGGTTAATTTGGAATGGCTGAGGGACTGCTCAAATGCAAAATGTCCCTAGTTTTCCAGTGTCTAGTTGACATTTAGAAACATGAAGAGGCCTCTACTGTACAGCACTTTCCCACATGTTGCTTTTAGTGAGTCAGTATGTGGGGAGTCAGAAAAGGATTGGTTTTCAGGAATACGTGTTTTAAACATATATAACAAACCCAAATGTTGTGCACATGTACCCTAGAACTTAAAGTATAATAAGAAATAAAAAAAATTTAAAAAATAAAAATAAAAACAATAAACTACTGATATACACAAGAAAAAAAACCTATTTTCAAGGTTATCTTGACATCCTTGTTGTGTTTGTTGCTTAAACCCATGACTATATCTTCTGAGGTGGTAGATTTGTCGGTCAAATATGTCTGTCTATTCTGGGGCTCAACAGCCTCAAAGTGTACATTTCTGTCAAATTGATAACACCTTCATTTTGTGAACATAACCATTTATTCTTGTTCCCTTCAAGTTCCTCCTCTCATTTCAAATGGCACTGCATTTAACTCTCAGTTTTTTCACGTAGTATGTTTTCATTCCCACTTTGTACTAAATAACCACAGATTTGAGCTGAGTTTTTTCCACCAAGGACTCAAAGTTGCAGCACAGATGAGCTAGAAATACTCAAATCTCATGAAAGATATATCCAGAATGATCTTCATTACATTTTATTTTACCTTGTTCCTTGCTATATGTCATCAGAAGACAGAAATTCCGTGACAAACCACAGATTGCTCTGGTGGGCAGAGCCTGGAGAGAGCCAAATCTTTCTCCGTGGGGCTGGCTGAAGCAGACCACAGGTACTGGAGCACTGGGGGAACCCACGTATTCCCCCCATTTCAAGCCTTTTATCCATGACAAAGGACTCTAAAACCAAGACAAATAAAAAGTATGGCTTTTTAAAAGGTAGTAAGTATAGAATTATTTCTAATTTAAGCGCTAAACAAAGTAAGAGAAAGTAATATGGATTGTAAGGTCTGTAAGGGCAAGAATTATTTTACTCATATTTTTTACTTCCCATACTTAGCATATAGAAATATTTGTTCCTTATTTGAGTTTTACTCTGTGGTTCTGGCCTAATTTGCATGAAAATATGTGGTTAATAATTCAAAATTCCTTGAAATTTGAGCAGAGAAAAAAATGTAGTATATTTCTTGTTTCTAGTTGAAATACCTAAACTAAAGTTGATACTTACTGGAAGACTGTAATTTGGTAGTATGACAAGCCATATGTACATATGGCAATAGAAATCAAGACCACACGTAGCACAGGAAACCTCACTCAGCTATGAGCTCCCTGAAGAGAGGGGACACCTCTGATTCATCTTTGTGCTTGGACATAGCAGGTTCTCATCTCAAATAGGTATGTGATGAGTGAAAGGGGAAGTGTTTCTCTATGGAACATATTGAGAGGATTAGAGAATCTCTAGCCAGTACTAGAGAATAAAAGAGATGAGAAAGAATTGTCAGTGAAAAACAAAAGGTAGAGCTCAAGGAACAAGAGGATTTGCGGAAAGAAAGATAAGTGAAGACTCTAGAGAGATACCCATGTGGCTGCCCATGAACAGTAATGAAAAGGTTTCCTTGACTTCAAGCAAAAACAATTATTAAAAAGTTTCAAAATCAAGAAGAAAAGACATGATGCCCTTTTAAAGAGTTTCCCCCAATAGTTCTATTCTTTTTGTTCTTGTTATTACTGTTTTATCCTCTACTGAACTTTTTAAAATGGATTCCCTCCTTTTAGACATTTAAGAGTTTAACCCATTATTTTACTTTCAACTCTTCAGAGGAAATGCTACATAAAATAAAAATAATATATTAAGCAATTTTCAGTCATTTCTGTAAAAAACCTAAGATTTTTTAGTGAAACTTGCTTATGTCATTTTCCAAATAAATGAAAAAAAAAGGCATCATTGACCTATATACTATCTTTTAAAAAAATCATGCCTGTTTAGGACCTCTAATAATTCTGTCAGACTATTTAGGGGACATGTTAATATACAGTTTTAAATGATATCATAGTGGTCTAAAAAATGAATATCTCTGGAAAAGCTTAAGAGCTTCAGGAATGTTCATGTGGGAACAGAGAGGTTAGGATCAGGCATTTTAAAAACAAGCTTCTAAAATTTTGTCTATCAGTGTTTTTTTGTGGCTCCCCTGTGGGATACAAATCTATCAATATTAAAGTTGAGAAAAATTTGTGTGTTAAATTTTATAGTTATCATTTATCATTCACAGTTCCCTGCCAGGAAATTACTTTTATATGAGTTGCAGAATTTAAACTTCTAGTTTTTCAATGACACAGAAAGATACAATGGCAACTATTTTATATCATAGTATATTTATTATCATTATTATTATCAGTATTATTTTTTAAGTTGTGGGATACATGCGCAGAATGTGCAGGTTTGTTACATAGGTATACATGTGCCATGGTGGTTTGCTGCACCTATCAACCTGTCATCTAGGTTTTAAGCCCTACATGTATTAGCTATTTGTCCTGATGCTCTCCCTCCCCTCCCCACCAACCCTCCTGTATGGCCCCAGTGTGTGTTTTTCCCCTCCCTGTGTCCATGTGTTCTCACTGTTCAACTCCCACTTATGAGTGAGAACAGGCGGTGTCTGGTTTTCTGTTCTTGTGTTAGTTTGCTGAGGATGATGGCTCCCAGCTTCATCCATGTCCCTGCAAATTACATGATCTCATTCTTTTTTATGGCTGCATAGTATTTCATGGTATATATTTTCTTTATCTAGTCTATCATTGATGGGCATTTGTGTTGGTTCCATGTCTTTGCTATAGTAAATAGTGCTACAATAAACCATACATGTGCATGTGTCTTTAGAGTACAATGATTTATATTCCTTTGAGTATATACCCAGTAATGGGATTGCTGGGTCAAATAGTACTTCTGGTTCTAGATCCTTGAAGAATCGCCACACTGTCTTCCACAAGGGTTGAACTAACTTACATTCCCACCACCAGTGTAAAAGCATTCCTATTTCTCCACAGGCTCACCAGCATCTACTGTTTCTTGACTTTTTAATAATCGCCATTCTGATTGGTGTGAGATGGTATCTCATTGTGGTTTTGATTTGCATTTCTCTAATGATCAGTGATCTTGAGCTTCTTTTTCAACAGTAACCAAAACAGTATGATACTGGTACCAACGCAGACATATAGACCAATGGAATAGAACAGAGACTTCAGAAATAACACCACACATCTACAACCATCTGATCTTCAACAAACCTGATAAAGAACAAGCAATGGGGAAAGGATTCCCTATTTAATAAGTGGTGCTGGGAAAACTGGCTAGCCACATGCAGAAAACTGAAACTGGACCTCTTTCTTACACCTTATGCAAAAATTAACTCAAGATTAATTAAAGACAAATGTAAAACCCCAAACCATAAAAACCTTAGAAGAAAATCTAGGCAATACCATTCAGGACATGAGCAAAGATTTCATGAAGAAAAGGTCAAAAGCAATTGCAACAAGAGCTAAAATTGACAACTGGGATCTAATTAAACTAAACAGCTTCTGCACGTCAAAATAAACTACTATCAGAGTGAACACGCAACCTACAGAATGGGAGAAAATTTTTGCAATCTACCCATCTGACAAAGGTCTAATACCCAGAATCTACAAGGAACTTGCACAAATTTACAAGAAAAAAACAAACGACCTCATGAAAAAGTAGGCAAAGGATATGAACAGCCACTTCTCATAGAATATTTAAAGAGGAGTGCTTTGTTGAAATGCTTTTTATACAGCTCTGATTGTTTTGAACTTCAATGGCGAACTGAAGTTCACACAAGCATATCTGGGTCATCCAGATGACCCCCGTATAAATGAGTACTGTTGCTTGGTTTCAAGGCTTGTGTTTGCATTTTGTGTAGATGTCAAGTGAAGGCCCAAGGAGTCAAGAAGCAGTATGGTGTGGAAGGTTTCACCGTGGTTCAAATAAAGAAAAGCAGTGGCATAAATGTCATTACACATCACACAGAAGTGCAGCAAACCAAACCTTAAAGAACTTGCATCAGAGAAGACATTAATTTAAAAAATAGTGAGTGTCTATTATATGCCCAGCACCTTCCTAGGAACTGGGGACACAGTGATGAACAAGAACAGACAAAGTCCTTGCGTTTATGGAGTTACATTCTATTTGGGAGGGGAGTATAGACAAATAAATAAACTAATACATATACAATATGTCAGGTGATGGAAGTGCTATACACAAAAACAAAGAAGGGGAAGGGGTCTGAGGATGACGGAACACCTGTTTGAGACATAATTAGACTTAGATATAATCAGAGCTTATGGAAAGCATTTAAATGGGGGTCGGGGAAGACTCTGAGGAAGAGATGTCTGAGCAGAGACTTGAATGAGATGAGGGAGCAGACTGGGGATATATCTGGGGAGTGGTTATTCCAGGTGAAGGAAACAGTCATCACAAAGGTCCTGAGGTGGGAATGAAGTAGGTTGGTACCATGTTCCCACTGCAAGCAGCTATACTGCTCAGATCCAACTTTAACAGCTAATGAGCAGTAAGTATAGTAGTAAATTAAATGGCATTTATTAATTTTCAGGGATATATTGTAAAATTATGTTGACATGTTAAAGTGACAGATTGGGCTGGGTGTGGTGGCTCACATCTGTAATCCTAGCACTTTGGGAAGCCGAGGCAGGCGGACCACGAGGCCAGGAGTTCGAGACCAGCCTGGCCGATATGGTGAAACCCCATCTCTACTAAAAATACAAAAATTAGCTGGGTGTGGCGGCGGGCACCTGTAATCCCAGATACTCAGGAGGCTGAGGCAGGAGAACTGTTTGAACCTGGGAGGCGGAGGTTGCAGTGAGCTGAGATTGTGCCACTGCACTCCAGCCTGGGTGACAGAGCAAGACTCGTCTAAATCAATCGATCAATCAATCAAGTGACAGATCGTAGTTAAAAATAGTGATGCTGGTAATTACAGTGACTAAAGTGATTTGTGAAGCTTCAAAAACAGAAAACAAAAAATGTAGTTTTCTATTATGAAACTCAACACTCGCAATTTAGTTTTAGCAAAACAACATTGTCTACCATATTAATGCTTTAAAATTGAATTTCACTGGTGGAATAAGTTTTGTTTGTATTTAACATGAACATTTGACACATGTGAGCTATAAGCACAAATAATTTATATCCAGTGTTCTGTCTTACATAAAGTAATATTATTATAAGGAATAATAGTCAAACAAGGTGTAGGTGTGTAAAAACCTTTTCCTCTTAAAATAGGTCACAGATTACTGCACTTTGAGATACACTGAGTTATTTCATCTTTAAGGTCCTTTACAACTTCTTTCCCTTACCTTTTCGTTTTCTGTGATTTCCTTCTGCAAACCCTTATAGTGTTTACAATTCACATTCTACTATCTTATGTTGTTTTTATATGAAGAATTTAGTTGAAGATTAAAATCCACTTTAGCTTTAAGGCTTGCTTGCTTGATTTTTCTATTTTGAAGTAAAAATTATACCTACTTCCTATTTTTGGACGCAGTACTATTTATCATTACAACCTGGGGAGGCCAAAGAAATATGTAAAGTTCCCCCTTAAGTATAAACCAAAACATCCGCATCACTGGTCAATCCTTTTGATTGTGGATGATAAGTGTACACTGGCATACCAATGCTCAAACTATTCTCTAGTCCTTCTTTTCTTGTTTGCAAAATCCTATTATGTCACTGCCCTGGGAGGCTTTCCCTGGGAATAACCATTCTCTCTGCTTTATGAGGGAGGTTACTGTCTGAAACAATCAATTATTCTTTCCTCTGAGCTCCCCAAAGCACTGTCTCATATCGCTAACACAGCATTTACCTCACACAGGATTCTGCTTTCGCTGCTGCACCTGTCTTGCACTGACTGGCACACAGCTTTAGGACAGGACCATGCTATTCATTACTGTATCCCTGGCACCTGGGAGAGTGCCTGGCATCATCTGCATTCAATTGAAATCCAAATGACATACCGGATAGGTGATTTCTTTGACTTGTTCTCGGGTCTCCCTGAAAGCAAACTGCACTAGCAACCCCACAGCAGCTGGAAGCTCTCCTTCAATATTGAGCTTGGCTCCAGGTCTGCTCACATGGGCTGTGTGGAACAGCTGACGGGGAGTCTGCCCATAGGTTTTTATCATGGTTTCTAGCGCTCTTCTCTGAACCGGATCTTCAACTGCAGAGACATCCATTCCAAAATATGTCTGCAGAGTGAAAGAATAAAGGAACAAGACATATGTAGTAAAAAGAAAGACTTGGCAATAATATAACACCAAAGGGAAAAACAACACTTTGTTTTATATTCTAGGTTATGGAAAAAATGCTTTTGTTCAGGTTAACAATCACGCATGGTCTCACTGAGACCAGAAGTATCAATGTTTCTGAATAGGTGAACAAAAACAATGTATCTTGACTGGTTATAATTAGGTATGTTTATAAAATCAGTTTTTAATTTAAGACCTGAGAATATCATATAAGACTTGATATTAAATTACTGAAGAAGTTGCTTGTCCAAAGCAATATATAGGAAGAGGCAAAAATGAAGTTAAAATACAATGCTGGTAGATAAAGAGAGCATTATTTAGGTTCTAATAAATATTGTAGATAAAACCAAAAGAGCAGCAATGAAAATTCAAAGCTCTTAAATGTAAAGGGTATTATTGTACTAATAAAATTATTGCACTAAGAAGGATATTTTTTCTTATTTATTTATTTGTTTGAGATGGAGTCTCACTCTGTCACCCAGGCTGGAGTGCAATGGCACGATCTTGGCTCACTGCGACCTCCGCCTCCCGGGTTGAAGTGGTTCTTCTGCCTCAGTCTCCCGAGTAGCTGGGACTACAGGCGTGTGCCACCAAGCCCAGCTAATTTTTTTGTATTTTTAGTAAAGATGGGGTTTCACCATGTTAGCCAGGCTGGTCTCGAACTCCTGACCTTAGGCAATCCACTCGCCTTGGCCTCCCAAAGTGCTGGGATTACAGGCACGAGCCACCGCGCCTGGCCAAGAAGAATATTATTTCTTAGTGTCATTATCCTGTAGAGTCAGATGGAGAGCAATGTGCATTTACTTCTTTATTTCTAAAGCTGGTGATCAGTAATTGAGTATAGATCAGCTATATTTCGTACATATCCACTTGGATGGCTTAGCTTTTAGTATAATATTTAATCAGTCGTAGTGGCTTTCATTACATATCTAGACATAACATTTCTATAAATGCCAAAATAAAATTCCAAAGACTACTTGGGGTCTTATTTCCATGTGAAGCTTCCCGTGCCACATAAAACTTTCATTAAATAAATTTATATGATTTGCTCTTGTTAATCTGGTTTTTTGTTTCTCTTTGTTTTTGTTATTTTGCAGAGACTCCAGTTAACCTGAGGAAAAGAAGGTGTTTTTCCTCCCTTATATATTAATATTATATGTGAAGTTGTTATTCACTAAACTACATTATTCTCCTTTTTTAGAATGAACTTTTCCATAACATTTATCTTCTATTAGAATAATCTGGAAACCTATATTATTCTCTTTTCTAGATTATAAATCTCTTAAGAAATTTAATTTTACATGACTTCGGATGTACTCAAAACAATTATGGAACAAAATAAACTAATGAGCTTTTTATTTTAAAGCTACTTTTGGGGAATGGACTACTGGCCTAAAAAAGCTCAGATACGGAGTGGTCTACTGTAGGTTCTGTGTATGTATTTTACCTATATTTGTTATAAACTCTTGTAGATTTGTTACAATCAACACAGAAAATTACAGTTAGTGGGGAGGTCCTTTAGATATTTCCTTTTGAAAGGAAGTATCTTTCTTTTCAGAATCTGCTTTTTCACCTCCCACTCCTCAAGGGATTTCCTTTCAGCGGCCGCATTTGGAGTCTCCACTACATCCAGGCAGGCCCATCTACCTTGGAAAGGAAAGTTGGCTTTCCTCCTAACCCCCTTCACCTTCTTTGAGTCTTATTTACTTTTGCATCCCCAGAGCCTAGCAAAATAGATGTTTCCTGAAGAGGTAAGATTATTTTTTCTAAAGTTAGTCTACCCAACAACCTCAAAAAGTATACTTGAAAATGTAGGCCGGGCGTGGTGGCTCATGCCTGTAATCTCAGCACTTTGAGAGGCCGAGGTGGTGAATCACGAGGTCAGCCTGGCCAAGATGGTGAAACCCTGTCTCACTAAAAATACAAAAATTAGCCAGGCGTGGTGGTGGGTGCCTGTAATCCCAACCACTTGTGAGGCTGAGGCAGGAGAATTGCTTGAACCTGAGAGGCAGAGGCTGCAGTGAACTGAGATCACACCACCGCACTCTAGCCTGGGTGACAGAGCAAGACTCCATCTCAAAAATAAATAAATAAATAAAAAATAAAAATGTAACAATTCTACTTCTAGGAATTTATCTTAAGGAAGTAAAGATGTACCTAAAAATAACCATAGAAATATTAATTTTAATAGCAAACAAATCCTAACTAAATATCCAACAATAGAAGACTGCTAAATAAATTATTCTATGGCTATACTTGAGAATATATGTTGAGTATCCCTTATACAAACATTTGGAACCAGAATTGTTTTGGATTTCAGGGTTTTTTGCGGGGGGAGGATTTTGGAATATTAGCATTATTTACTTAGCAGTTCAGTATTCTTAATCCAAAAATCGGAAATCTGATATGGTCCAATGAGCATTTCCTTTGATTATCATGTTGGCACTCGAAAAGTTTCTGATTTTGAAGCATTTTGAATTCTGGATTTTTGGATTAAGAACACTCTACCTATACTAAGAAGCCATTAAAAATAATGTAGAATGATACCTAATGACTTGAATAAATTTAAGATTATCTTATTTAGGGAGAAGAAAAGGTTACCAAATAGCACTAATATTATTATTATATAAATGGAATGATACATATCTATAGAAAGAAGTCTAAAGGTGCTTGTACTATTTATCTCTGGATGGTGATATTAAAGTGGACTTTAAAATTTCTCCCTGTTGCTAGTCTGTATTTTATACATTTTTCTAACAAAGTACAAGTACTTTTTCTGTAATAAGAAAACATGGTGCCATTTTAAAGTAGACCATGTATGTCGGATAGTGTGCAGAAAAGAGTTAACATAGCAAGATTGACAGCTATCTCTGGAAAGGCCTGCTTGCAAAGTTGGCCCTTGGCTGTTGTCTGGAACTCGAATTTCAGGAGAGGTCCTACCATTCCCTAATTGGTAAGAGTGACTTACTGTGCCTAAACTGTACAAACAACACGGTTTATACAGAACAACTGCTTTCCTTCTGAGAGGCTGGAATTTCAGTATGTGCGAGGCAGAGGGTGCCTACATTGCCAACCTCAATAAAAATCTTGTACACTGAGTCTCTAATGAGATTCCCTGGCAGACAACATATCACACGTGTCATTATGACTCGTTGCTGGAGGAGGTTGAGTACGCTCTTTGTGCTTTACCAGGGGTAGATTCTTGGATGTTTGTGTCCCAGACTTTGCCCCACGCTGATTCTACTTTGTATCATTTACCGTAATAAACCTGAACTAGAAGGATGACTATACGCTGAATCCTCAAATTCACCTAGTGAATCATCAAACCTGGGGATGGTTTTGGGGAACCTCTGAAAAAGATAGTATCTTGTTTTTAATGAGAGGAAATATAAAACCTGAAAAATCTTAGGTGATGGTTTAATGCTACTACCAATTCTCTTTGGTAACTTGGGTGTTTTAAAGGAACAGTTGAACAACTAACCTTAAAATATTCAGGTTCTATCTTATATAAATACAGATTATTTTAAAAGAGTCACTTACAGCAGGATGAAAAACATTGATTGCTTGAACAGAAGCCTTCCCCTTTTGCTTATAACCAAACACCAAGTCAATCCACTGACAGATGTTCTGGGACACGCAGTCAGACTCTAGAGCCTGCCGATGGATGAGGATAAAAAGACGAGGATCATTACGTGCCCAAGGCGGAAGGTTGACGTGATTAACCCGTTCACCATTCTGACGCACACCAAAATCAAAACCTAAAAGAGAAGATTAATATTAATATTCAACTTCCCCAAAGCAGGTTTCATTCAGTCACAGAGCAGTTCTTAAGAGTTCACAAAAATGGCTGTTTGTGTGCTACAACCGAAAAAGGGAATAGGAAGGAGGATTTACATTTTAAATAAGAAACACCACTGCTCATCTACCTATTTACCTACTAATAGGGTTATGTGAGCTAATGCTATCATAATTAAATTTGAGATCTTTCAACTTTATCTTTCTACCACTTTATAACATATTGAAGAAAAGGAGAAAACCATTGCCTACTAATTCCAATATTCTCACTATTCATTTCTTCAAGGGCATTAAGTACTTAAATATCTATTCAATTGTAAACCTGATTAGAATCAAACTAAGGCTTTGTAGAAGCATTTCTGAACTATTGGCATTAACATTTTAATAAATTTAAGATTATATTTAGTAAATATTTACTAAATATATTAGTATTCTATAGTTTAAAAACTCAACTAATATAAAGTATATACATTCTTAGAATGAATTGCCACAGTCTATTAATTTTATAAGTCTACAGGTCTGTTCTGACTTCCTTTCTACTAAGCATTCCTGTAGATAACAAAATTACCCCAACACAGGAAATAAGAGGGTTCTTCTGTGACGTAAATGAGCTAATATCTAACTGTCTCATCAGTCTGCTAGTATAAACAAAAATCTCAGAAGTGCTTATTTAAAAAAATTATCCTAAAGGAAATGTTACCTTTAAACAGAAATGGCTTTTTGTGCTACATTTTCTAGTTTGCTGAACACCACAACATAATACCAATTTAAAAGGACCTTTTAAAAGCTGATTAAGCTTCATATAAAATTAAGTTTTGATCTTGGAAAAACAGAAGGCTCTTCACCAAAATACTTGGGAAGTATTTTGAAATGATATGATATGGAATGTAAATCAAGGGCGTATATAAGTTCACATGGGATGGGGATGGGAGCATCTCAGAAAGCTCAGCAGTCATCGTACGGAGGAGGTGCACGGTTGATTTAGGATGGACTGGCTGAGCACCTGCAGAACTCCATGTGTGTGGCTTCAGGAGAGGCAGCAGCAGGAACTTATTTAACAGTGAATGAGGCACCTGGGAATGGGCTGGGAATGGGGTGCATAACAGGGTATTTGTATAAACTCAAGCTTTCCCAACTTTCAGGTGTTCTGAGGGAACACCACAGAGGCAGACACTTCTGATCCAAAGCAGACAACTGACGAATGAGAGTCCCAGAGGAACACTGATAGGAAATGATGTGATACACGCTGTAGAAAATTGTATTTTCCAAAAATGGCTATAACAGCATTTCCTGTCTTGCATGCCCTTCCAGAATCTTGCTACTCTCCATCACAAGGCAAAGTCTATCTTCCTTTCTTTTGAATCTGGGAAGGCACTTGTGACTGCCTCAACGAATAGGAAGAATACAGTGGAAGTGATGCTGTGTGGCTGCTAAGAACAGGCTGGAAAAGGCCATGCAGCCTCTGTTCGTCTCCCTCTTGGAACACTTGTCTTTGGAACCCTGAGTTGCCAAGTAGGACATTCAGGGCTGCCGTGCTGTGGGGAAGCCCAAAACTAGCCCACACAGAGAGACCACATGAAAAAGCACTAACACTGCATGAAGAGAGGGTGATGTGCTCCAGCTACCTAAGGCTTCATCCTCTGCCTGTTCCACCTCCAGAAATCTGAAGGCAACAGCATGAGAGACCCTGTGCTAAAACCACCTGGCTGAGCTGTTTCTGAATTTCTGACCTTTTTTTTTTATTTCTGACCAATAAAAAATAATTTTATTATCCATGATTAATAATAAATTTATTATTGTTTCAAGCCACTAAGTGTTGAGATTATTTGTTATACAGCCATAGATAGCTAAAACATACATATAAGAGACCATGGACAGAAAAAACAAGGAGTAGATTTAAACAGGAGTCCTAAATGAAAAGCTTCAAGGCTGGCACCCCAAATTGCAGGTGCTGATGTTTGACTGAGGCATTTCTCACTTGAGCAACACTGTGAAAGCGCCAGGGTGGCATGAATCTACTGATGATTCAATAATCAATCAAACAACTTCAGAGACACTGATACTATACAACAAAATTCTAACATAATTTGCCCAACAGCAACTTCTTAAAGCTCAGTTTCATATGCTCTTAACGATCACATAAAATTACAGAATTAAGTAATGTAAGAAATGACCCAAAGACATCCCTTAAAGGGTTAGCTGCTCTTCTATTTAAGAATAGCTAAGGTTGGCAGCCAAGACTGTTGGTTGGCATCATAGAAAATTTAATTTTATACTTCAGTATTCCTTTTGGCTATTAGATAATTCTGGGCAGAGTATTTCATTTTTATTTTGGTCATTCCTCATAAAATAATTGAGATTTCAGTTAATTTACATTTTGCTTTCAATAAAGTCATACCTCTTAATTTTAAAGTAATTAGCACATTATAACTTTTGTATTCAGAAAAAAGTATAAAGTAATTTCTATAATAAAATAAAAATACATATTTACAAATAATTTTAATAGTTAAAAGTTACAGTTTTCCAAACATACTTAATCCTATAAAATACTTAAAATTCTCAAGCTTATTTGAAAATAGAATTATATACATAATAAAACACATTTTCTCTTATTTGGGGACTCAAATTTTTAGGACTTAAGAAAGCTATTTTCATTTTTGGAAAATTACAAAATAACCACAAGCCCTCAGAAATATAAATAAGAAATAATTTATTGCTATACCTTCACGGTTAACTAGGAACTCTGGAAGATAGAAGAACTCTGGAATAAGTTCTTTCACGTCAGTCATAGATTCAAAAGATGAGAGTCGCCAAGTTGTATTTGTAGAATGAAAAGTTCTGTCTGGAATGTCAAAACTTTGATCTATGAAAAAATACAAATAATAAAATTAAGACACAAAGACCTAATTCTATTTGAGGCCTACCATAATTAATTTACTTTTGCTACTTCAAAAAGATTAAAATAATGCTCAGTTTGTTTGCCCATAGTTTAAAAGAAGTTATTCATGTTCTTGAAAATAAATATTTCTATAAACTTGAGATATTATATTTTTCATCTGTTCTATGCTTTTGTAATATATATAATTAGATTAGTTTATACCATTTATTTGTTGAACTATCATCTATCTATCAAAGTAGAATGAAAGTTCCACAAAAACAGGGCCCTGGGATATCATCCACACCTTGCACATAATGGGTACTCAATAATGGTTGGTTTATTGAATGAATGAATAATGAAGAAGGAAAATTGAAGTTCAAGTAGGTAAACAGTTTTTTCCCCATCAGGGAGCAAAATGATTCCTTCACTTTGAATTGTTAAGACTACTTTTTCTCCTTTCTTTGTTTTCTTTATTTTTTTTCCTAGTAGGGGGCGGGGGTTGGCGTACGTTACGGTGCATTGTTTTTTGGGTGTTCTAACTCTGAGCTAAAGAATTGAGTAAACTTTCCTATGAATGAAAATAAAACTAAGCATAGTCACTCTTTTGTTCATTTTTTTTTTCCCAGGGTAGACTATTAATAATCAAGAATTAAGTTTGGACTCTCTTTTCTGCCAACAATGATCAGACTTTCTAGCCATAGAGAAAGGCCTAGAATATTAAATGATATCCAAAAGTTGGCCCCTGAAAACAGTAGCAGTTTACATGTTTCTTAGGAACCATATTGCATCATCTAAAACGTCTGTGAACGTGCTGAAATTTGAACACATCTTTTCATTTGGAGACTGCCACAAACACATCGCAGCATTGGGTTTCTTAGTTGCTCTGCTGAGCGACATCTTCTGTCACTTGTATTACTTTCTCATCTATTCTGTTGAGTCAGTTGGCATTGGCTGGCCACTAAATAAAATCTGGGAAGAAATAAGGTTTAGGAACATTTACTTTTTCTCAGAAAGTAAGGAAGGCCATTTAAAGAAATACCTACTAACTCTGTAGAAAAAGTTATCAATCAAAACGGAATTCAGAAAAATTAAGGTAATTCTCAAAAACAAACAAAAAAACTAAACAGAAAAATTAAGGTAATTTTGTAATGCTATGGTGAGGTCAAAGTATCTAGAGTTAAGACTAAAGAAATATGGAACAAGAGAAGCACATTGGGTAGGTTCTGTTCAGATTTTAAGATTCTCTGTATTTTCCTACATTTTATTAAACAGTACTACTACAAATTCCTATTATCTAGAATATGCATATATTAAACCTGTGGTTCTCAACCAGTAGCACTTTTGCCCTCCAGGGTTTATTTGGCAATGTCTGACAACATTTCTGATTCTCACAACTGGGGGGATGGGGTGTGGGCAGTGGTGGTACCACTGGCACTAGTAGGGAGATACTAGGGGTACTGCTAAACATCCTACAATGCACACAGCAGCTCCCATGACAAACAAATTATGCAGCTCGAAATGACTACAGTGCTAAGGTGGAGAATCCCTGTACTAAACCAAAGCAAAGAAATAAATTCAAAAGCCGAGAGATATCACTTGAAACTAATAAGATGAAAGTGAATGGAGACTGAGGTAGTCCTAGGTTTTAAACAAAATATATTCATAAATACATAATGAAGAAAACATATTATATATGAATACATCCATAATAGTAACATGAATAAAAATATTGATAAATTTTAGTTGATTGGTAGTTTTATATTAATGGATTCTTGGGCTACATTAAATGAAATGTAGTCTTGGATGGAGGGAGGTAACAGTTCTGTTAAACACTGTAGGGGCGCAAGCACATCTGAATTATTCTTTTTTATTTTGACTGCCTTTTTCTTTTCGTCAAGAGCATTCACAAATCAGAACATGTCCAGAAAGATCTTCAGAATAGCGACAGGCTTGGAAACCACAGCAAACAAGATGGCTTAAACACTGGTTTTAAAAACACCTTATTTAGTACAAAACTGTCCTATTTATTTTTTGGTATTCCTTGCAGCAGCTGGGATAGGACCATGCATCCATGAGGCCCTCAATCTGCTGTCAAATTAACCAAGGATAATTAGCCAGGGGAAAAACAAGACAGAGAGAGAAAGGGGACAGCCCAACAATTTTCAAATATTTGAACAGCTGTCATATAGAACATTTGTTCTGTTAACTTACAGAGAGACAAACATAGGAAAGCCCCTTCTGCAGACCAATAAGAGTGAATACAAATTCATTCCTCCAATAGGTTGTACATGAGTAAAAGGCATGAAGTAGTTCAAGAATGGTTGAGTAAAAGAATGGATAATGATTCCTCAAAGTATTCTGGATTCCACGAGAAAGAGCTATAGAACTAATATCACAGTTCTCATTAGAAACTACAGGTGTGTCCCAACTTGCATAAAAATATAAATTCACTCTTATCTAAGTCATGTTCAGGCCTCCAGTCTGTCACTTAAAATGCTGAGGTAGAAGATTATTAACTAGAAAGCTACCACAGTGAAGTTGCCGGTGTGCCTCTTTTATTAACTAGTTAGTTAGAATAAACCTCAATAAGGTACTTGCCTTTATAATAAACTACAATAATGTACATAGGCTCCAAAGGTAACTTACTGGATTTGAAATAAGTATTAGGTAGAATGTCTTTAAAAAGTGAACTGCATAAACTTTAAAAGGGTGAATTTCATGGTTTGTGAATTATATCTTAATTTTTAAAAAGTGAATTGCATTTTTATAAACTTAGACATTTAATTTGAAGCTAAAATTTGAGGCATTAGCAAGATGATTTGGCTTACTACAGCTTTTTTGAGGAGAATTTTGGGGAAGGAATAAATAGAATTCTTTTTCCTGTAGTTTGATTAGTCTCAATAGTTCTTAGAAAGTCAGTCCTAAGTTTTTTTTTGTTTCTTTTTTGTTTTTTTTCTTCCTGATGACTCAACATGATTTCTAAGCAGTTATTAAAAAAATTCTTACCTTGATAGGCTAAAAACATTTTAGTGAAAGGAGGCATCCTGACCAGGAAGTGAAGCACAGTCCCGCTGTTGGAATAGTGGGAGCCATAGTGATAGGGCTGCACGGGAGGCATGGGGTCATCTTCCCTGGCTCCTTTGCGGTACTCTTCCTCCAAGTACTGAAAGAAACAGTGAATACAGAGAACTCGTGATTGTGGGCTCCAGGCAACACTAGAAAAGTGCTGGATGGTTTTTATTCTCTCCTTCTCTACTACCCCTTTGAGGCCATTCTCCACGGCTGGCCCTCCCACTCTTGCCCCGGAGACTTCAGCCTCCTTGAGTGTCTGGGAGTCTTCTCCTTGGTGCCTCACTAAGACCTAAACACTCAGAAGCATTTCCCATCTCCACATTCACTCTTTCATCCCCTCATAGGAAACCTACCCAACTTTGAGCACTCCACCTCCTAATTAATGGCTCATAATGTCTAAGCTGACCAAGCACCCAACAAATGAGAGGTGCTTCTGTCACTAGAGATGTCTTCATTTCAAAAGAGTTTCAAGATGTAATGCTATGTTGTTTAGAGAACTGCTTCTCTAGAAGTAGAAATGCAATAGAAATGTAAAAACTATGTCACATTATTGGTAATAATATAACATTTTAAGTCTGTTTTACAGTGCAGTTACCAGAGATTAAAAAAAAAAAAAAAAAAAAAGAATATGGTGATTTTTCACTACTCCTGTCTTCCCATCATAAAGTAGGAAGTTCAACCAAACATTTAATATCTGTCACTATTCTTGTCTCCCATAGCTTCTGTCTGATTCTGATAACAAAGTCAGGTATAGTGAATTAAGAGTTACTTCTTGATTCGCACAGCAATGACGCATTTTCAACTGCTGAAGAATCAAGTAGTGACAGTCATAAGATGCTTAGAGGGACGTTTCAGGAACTGTGGCATAAAATAATGTGATGAATATGAGAAAAGTGTTTCAGTTGCTCCTGTCTTGATACTCCTGTGAAGAATGTAATGTGTAGCTATTGCATTTTTTTGAATTTCCAATAGAATTTCATTAATGTTAACTTCACAGAAAAAGGTAATTCATTTTCTTTTTAAAATGTTAAAATCTGATAAATTTTTGTTTAATAAACCAATGAATAATTTCCTGAATATGACTAATGGTTATGGTACATTATAAAGATATTAACACTATTATATAAATAACACTAGGGGATATGAATAGCAGGTCCCTGGAAATCTTTGTGATTTTTATAAGGAATGTGACTACTGTATACTTGAATAAACAATGAGTTATTGGTTTTCAATTTGTGCTAAAATAAATGTATCCTTTTTCTGGGCGAAGTGTTCTCAGAAAATCAGGATAGAAGATGATATTTCATTTCACATAATGATTTTTAGCTGTCCGTCAATCCTAGTACAAGAAAGTAAAAAATCAGTAGTATAAATTTAAAATTAGGTAAAACACAAGTCTGTAAAACAAACACAATTTTTCATTTAATAAAGTATGAGTAAAAACAAAAGCTACCTTGTATGTGTCCACATAACGATCTTCTTTTTCTTTATACTGAACAGCTATAGGTTTAGAGAGATTTCTACGAGAAAAGGATAATTTTAAAAATTAAATATTTTGATACTGTCAAGATTAAGCTCCCTAGATGTCTGCATCTTGAAAGTTGGTAAGTGGTCAACAAAATGCTCCGCCTTTATTTCTCTGCTTAAACATGTTGTTTTGCAACTAACAGTCACCATTCAAAATTATGATTTCAGAAATTAAGGTAGAATTTTCCCCACAGAGCCAGGTCAGTATTAGGAATTCCTGACTTACAAGTAGCCTAAATAAGAAGGGCTACTACTATCCTTCTTTCCCTTCTGCAGCTTCCTCTAGAATCGTAACTGATGCTGCTCGTGGGAGCAGATTCCTAGACCAAGCCCTGGAAGTTAGTGTTCCATTTTCCAGACTCTACATCCAGTTAGGCAGTGTAGAGTGAAGGACAGTTTCGACAGAACTTAGGAACAGAGGAAGATGCTGTGTAATGACTAGCCTAGTTAGTAAAAACTGAAGAAACAACACGTGCTCAAAATGACCAAGCTGAGATTTGGAGAGTGAGAACTGAAATAAGTATTTTGCTACTTAGTTAGTAGATGGTGAGTGATACACTGTGCATAGTGCAGAGTATGTATGCACGCGTACAAAGGTGTCAGTGCTGGTGTTCAGAGAATGTGAACCACACGACACCATTCCTTGAAGCAGGAGAATGAATCCTCATCCCTCCCGGAATGAATCCTCACTTTTACAAGCTACAGAATCATGTGTCAGATTCTGTGTCAGAATCAGAATCTGTGTCCCTGCGTGGCACTTGAAGGTGCAAAAGAAAAAGCTCTGATGAAGAAGGGCAGGCTTTTTTGCCTGAGGAACCATCTGGTCTGGCACAGGCATGGACCACCTGGATTTCAACCTGCAGCACCATAACTAGACCGACAGCAAGATTTACCTAAATTTCAGTGAGTCAAACCAGGTCTGCTTAACCACATGTTGATACATCTTTTTTTTTTTTTTTTAAATATAAATTACTATTTTCTAGGAATGTTGAAATTAGTGGTATTAAGTGCACTAATTTTGTCTTTGAGATTTTTCTAATCACAAAAACTTTGTTAAAAAGTAAAAACAGTTTTATAGAATAGATACAAATTAACATCTAAAAATAGAACAAAATCACTTAAGATGGCTGCCTACTTTTTTTTTTTTTTTTTTTTTTTTTTCTGAGACAGAGTCTCTCACTCTGCCGCCCAGGCCGGAGTGAAGTGGCGCGATCTCACCTCACTGCAACCTCTGCCTCCCGGGTTCAAGCCATTCTCTTGCCTCAGCCTCCCAAGTAGCTAGGACTACAGGCATGCACTATCATGCCTGGCTAATTTTTGTATTTTTAGTAGTAGAGTAGGATGGTCTCGATCTCTTGACCTTGTGATCCACCTGCCTCGACCTCCCAAAGTGCTGAGATGACAGGCGTGAGCCACTGCGCCCAGCCAGCCATTATTTTTTACGTGTATTTTTTCTCTTTATTTTCTCTTGACACTGACTTGTTGGAAAAACCAGGTCATTTATTCTGCTGGAGGCTTCACATTCTGTATTTTCTGATTGCTTCCCGTGACATCATTTAGTTTGTTCCCATAACCCCTGTATTTCCTAGAGACTGGAAAAGTCTTGCTTAGGTTCAGGTTCAACTCTTTATTTGTCAAGAATCCTTTATAGGTGCTGATGTGAGCTTTATATGTATTTTCCTTTTTTTTTTTTTTTCTCATTCTGCATGGTTGAGAGGAGTGAGCTTTATATTGTATCGTATCAGGAAGCCTATGATATTCCACTCTAATGATGCTCAGTTTGATCTGCGGGCTCAGGCTCCCATTGAATTTGTACCTAATGGTTTAATCCATTGATGATTATTGCTTGAATCACTTATTTCACTAGAGGTTGCAAAATGTTGATTTCCCATTCTCTCATTTCTTCTAAACTTATTAGAAGAAAACAGACAAGGTGAGCCTTGGATGTTTTGTTGTGTCAGAAAGCAACGAAACTAATATGGTCTTGTCAAAAAGACTCAGAAATTGGCCAGGCGTGATGGCTCACACCTGTAATCCCAGCACTTTGGGAGGCTGAGATGGGTGGATCACCTGAGATCAGGAGTTCGAGACCAGCGTGGCCAACATGGTGAAACCCTGTCTCTACTAAAAATACAAAAATTAGTTGGGCGTGGTGGCACGTGCCTGTAGGCCCAGCTATGTGGGAGGCTGAGGCAGGAGAATCGCTTGAACCCAGGAGGCAGAGGTTGCAGTGAGCCAAGATCGTGCCACTGCACTCTAGCCTGGTGACAGAGCAAGACACTGTCTCAAAAAAAAAAAAAAAAAAAGGCGATTCTAGGTATATGTTCAGATATATAGCAACCAAACATGATAATGGATCTGATTCAAGAAAACCAACTATAAAACACTATCTTTGAGAGAATCAGGGGACATTTGGAAATGGACTAGATATTAGATGATATCATGGAATTACTGTCAATTTTCTTACATGTGATAATAGCACTGTGGTTAAGGTGTTCTATTTTTTAAAAAGATGCATACTGCAGAACAAAGAAGTGACATAACAAGATGTCTGTGATTTGCCTTAAATAAGAAAAAAAGATAATGTAAGTTTGGCAAAAATCTTCATAATTCACAACTGTTGAACTGGGGTGATAGGTATTTGGGTTCTTATATAATTCTTCTATTCTATGCATGTTTGAAATTTTTCCTAATAAAAACTTTAATAAAGAAATACAACATATGAATAGATGAACCCTAAAGGTTCTTTTAACTTACCTATATATCAACGGATCATTGAGGTCAAGTGTCTCACTAATATAGTCAGCAAGTATAAATGGGAACACAGGATACTGCATGAGATCATTGAAGGATCGGCCAGCATGTTTGTTTAAGTGAGTCAAATATTCAAAATTAGTAATTTGTCCAGTATACCATAAATTTGTCAGAGCAGTGATGTTACCATATTCCAGAAGATTAGGGAGGTTATTTGTGAGTATATTGTGGTATACATCATCACGAACCTAAAAGGGAAGTAGAAAAAAAAACCCAGATATTATTTTTAGTCTTATAGGCACTTTTCTGCAGAGAACCCATGACATTATAGACATGTTACAAATCTCATGTCCTTCAAGAAATTATTTTTTTCTCAGTAACATTAATGGGTAGAAAACTGAGATTCAAGTCCAGGTCATCCTCCAAAGGCTGGGCTCTTCACCACTATGCTTTGCTGCTGGACAAATATGTTAATAAAAAACTTCTAAGAAAAAGTTTGTATAGAAAAGTCACTTAAGACACTAAAAAAAAAAAATAAGGAAAAAAGAAGAGTCTCATTCTAAATAAATGCAATATGGTATAGTAGAAACAGCATGGTCTTCTGAATTGGACAGATCTGGTCTATTTACCTGCTAACCTTCAGTGCTACAGTTACCATGTCTATAATATGGGAGTGATAATATTTCTCTCATAAGAATTAAATAAAGTAGCCTATGTAAATAGGATATTTGATTTTCACTACTGATCGAAAACATAAACTCTTTTTTAGAGATTCACAATAGTTTTATCACAGAAAAAGGGTATTGGTTCTTTTAAAGCAATTAAATAATGATTGCTAATAAATGAAAAAAACAGACAAGACAACTTTGCTAAAAACAGATATGAAATACCCATTCTAAGCAGGCATATGCTTCAAACATAGGAAGAAGAGCCACAGATATGGATAATGAGAGTGTGAACTTAATGAGGAAATGTACTGGTAGTTATGGAACAGGCAAAACCACAGAGAATAGACCATCCTAAACCTGTAGCCTAAATCTGAAGGTTGCCAATTGTTGATGCTAAGGTCCACAGAAGGGAATTTATGACAGACTATAAGCCAAGCCCTGGAAGGAAAAGGAGGCATTCATTTATTCAACAAATATGAATTGAATACCTACATACCAGTAGTGTTCAAAATTCTGAAGAACTGGAACTTAACAAAGCAAAGACTTGGCATTCTACTGGGGAGAGGCAGAAAATGCTGGATGCTAATACATTCTATGGAGAAAAACAGACCAAAGTAAAGGAGGTAAGGGATGCTTGGTGGAGAGGGAGGGGTGGTTATTTTATAGAGTCAAGGAGGGTCTCTCTGATAGGAAGATATTTGATCAGGAAACTTGAAAAAGTGACAAAGCAAATCATTTGGATTTCTAAGGAGAAAAACATTCCAGGCAACAGTGAATGCAAAGTCCCCAAGGCACTGGTGTGCCTGACATTCAAGGCATGGATGGAGGAAACAGTGAGGGAGAGAATGGTAGACAATGATGTCAGAGAGGTAACAAGGTATGAGATTATCCAGGGCTGTATCAGGTTATTGGAAGGACGATGCCTTCAAGTGAATGTGACATGAAAGTGACTGAAGGACTCTGAGCAGAGAAAATATATGGTCCAACATACTTTAGCGGCTGTGTTGAGAACAATCTGAAGGGGGGCTAAGGGGCTTTCTACAAAGGAGAGCAGAGAAATGGTAGTGAAGGGACTGGAGGTCAAGAAAGGGTTTGTCAAAGTCATTGTAGCTGAAAGTCACTACAGCACTGAGCAAGGTTTTTCTTTTTTGTTTTTGTTTGTTTGTTTGTTTTGTTTTGTTTTGTTTTTTGTGATGGAGTCTCATTCTGTTGCCCAGGCTGGAGTGTAATGGCATGATTTTGGCTCACTGCAACCTCCGCCTCCCAGGTTCAAGTGATTCTCCTGCCCCAGCCTCCCAAGTAGCTGGGACTACAGGTATGTGCCACCATGCCCCGCTAATTTTTGTATTTTTAGTAGAGATGGGGGTTTCACCATGTTGCCCAGGCTGGTCTTGAACTCCTGACCTCATGATCTGACTGCCTCGGCCTCCCAAAACAAAATGCTGGAATTACAGGCATGAGCCACTGTGCCTGGCCCTGAGCAAGTGTAAACTACTTCATTTCGGTCATTTTGGGGAATCGAAATTTAACACAATTTTGGAGGTCAAAAATAATCATATAACCAAGGCTTTACTTTAATTAGAACTAAGAAATATGGCAATTTTTATTGGATTTCAGAAACAGTATGGATGCAGGAAAGCCAGTTAGGAGGCTATTGTAAATGATTCTGGCAAGAAATGATGGTGGCTTAAACCAGGATGGTAGCAGTGGAAGCAGTCAGACTCTGGATGTATTCTGACGACAGAGCCAACAGGACCTATTAATAGAGTGTATGCAGGGGATGAGAGAAGAACAAGAGTCTTGGATAATCTCAAGAGTTTTGGCCCGGGCACTGGAAAGATGGAGTTGTCATTTACTGAGATAGAGAAAACTGGAAGGAAATTTTGGGGGGAAGATTAGAAGTTCAGTTTTGTACAGGTTACGCTTGAGATGCAAATTAGTGACTTCTAAATGGAGACACCAGTCGGGAGTTAAATTAGTGTGGCATTCAGGAGAGAGGTTTGGGTACTGACATAAATTTGTAAATTGTTAGAATACAGATGGTATTTTAAAGTCGTAAGACTGGATGAGAAGACAAGAGGTCTGAAGAATGAGCCCTGCAACACACCAAGGAGGTGTCTGCAACCAAGACTGAGAAGCAATGGCTGGGGTAAGATATAAGAACTAAGAGAAAATGGTAACCCAGAAGCCCGGGGAGGAAGGTTTTATTTAAGGAGAGAAAAATCAGCTGGGTCAAACACTGCCGATAGGTCAAGTAAAATGGGGACAAAGAAAGATTATGACATTAGGGGTTTAGCAACATAGAGGTTACCGATGACCCTGACGAGAGTGGTGAGAAGAAAGTCTGCCTGAAGCATTTCAAAAGAAAACTGGAGGCAGCAAGCATATGCAACTTTCCCCAACAGGTTTTCTATAAAGGAGAGCAGAGAAATGGTGGCCGACAGGATTAGAGGTCAAGAGAGTTTGTCAAAGATGGACTCCGCTACAGCACTGAGCAAGTTTAAATTACTCCTTTCAGTCATTTGGGGGAATCAGAATTTACCTCATTTTGGAGGTAAAAGACAATCCTCATATAACAAAGGCTTCACTTTAATCAGGACTAAGAAATATGGCAATTTTTATTCGATTTCAGTAAACCTTCATGTAATCAGTATGAGTATAGTTACATTGGCGCATCAGCACTTAAACAATATATATCAATTAATAAGGGTGAATTTACCTTGGTGTTATCAAATGCCAACAGGAGTGTTCTGCCATTTGTTAGAAAGATTTCTACAGCATTATCTCTCAATTGCCACCAGCGCTTGTGAACTTCTTTAATTTCTTCATATGTCCAGGAAAATGATGCTGGTTCTAACTCTCCCTGAAGGCTCTAAGACAAAGAAATAGGCAAAAATATTTGTTTTGCCAGAAATATAAATAATTAATTTTAATTTTAGATTTTAAAAAGCATCAAAACATAACAGAAAATCTTTTTGTGGCAGATGGCAGATAAGATTACCTGAAAACTCTCCCAATGCAAAACACCTCAAAATGCTTGATAAAATTTAGAAATTAAAAAAAATTAATAGGCTTTATTTTTTAGACTAGTTTAAGGTTTACAGAAAATTGAGCAGATAATACAGAATTTCCATGTATCCTCCCCTCCCTTGGCCCTGCACTCACAGTTTCTCTATTATTAAATCTTGCATTTGGTATGGGACATAAATTACAATTGATGAACCAATATTGCTACCATTTTTCTTACATAAAGTACACAGTTTATAGTAGGGTTCACTCTTTGTGTTGTACATTCCATGGGCTTTGACAAATGTATAATGACATGTATCCACCATCACGATATCATACAAAATAGCTCTATTGCCCTAAAACTCCTTGGAACTCCACCTACTCATCCCTCGTTTCCTCTCCCCAACCTCTGGCAACCACTAATTTATTTACTGTCTCTATAGAGTTTTGCCTTTTCCATAATGTCATATAGTTCAAATCATACAGTATATAGCCTTTTCAGGTTGGCTTCTTTTACTAAGCAAATATCCTTTTAAATACATAGCTGAGCTTGCAAGAAAACAAGGGAAATGACATCCCCAGGGGTCAAAAATGTAGAGGAACCGGAAAATCAACACTAAGCAGGGAGTGATACTCTGGTTGCTCTGTTGTATGTGTCTGCATACACATGCATGTATGCACACACCCCAGTTTCAGAAACGAACTGATGTAGGTTCACAGCAACTTGAGGACAGAAGATGAGGCCCTGGCCCCCTAGAATCGGGGTGTGGAATTGAGATTGCTTCAGAAAGCTAAAACCTAGGAAGGGATGCCTAACGAAAGATTAGACAAACAAATGTGCACATCAATAAAGGGGAATAGGCCGGGCGCAGTGGCTCATGCCTATAATCGCAGCACTTTGGGAGGCTCAGGCAGACAGATCACTTGAGGTCAGGAGTTCAAGACCAGCTTGGCCAACATGGTGAAACCCCATCTCTACTAAAAATACAAAAATTAGTCGGGAGTGATGACAGGCACCTGTAGTTCCAGCTACTCGGGAGGCTGAGGCAGGAGAATCACTTGAACCCAGGAGACGGAGGTTTTGGTGAGCCGAAATCACGCCACTGCACTCCAACCTGGGTGACAGAGTGAGACTCTGTCTTAAAAAAATGAAAATAAAAATAATAAAAATAAAGGGGAATAACCAGGACGCAAGCTTGTCTCTTTTGGCCTGGAACCTAGAGAACAGAAAAAAAGCCTTTCTCTGAGAATTCATAATTGTGGGCCTGCCATCATATAGATTTAGGGTAAATCCACGTCTGGATGGCCTGAAAACGCCCGAGCTTTGAAACAGTTCTCATGCTTCCAAGTCATCCAGCAAAGGGAAAGCGGAATCTCTGGAGGAGCATTCCTAGAACTAATGGGGCATTTCTGCAAATAAAGCCCCACCGAATGTAAGCTGACAGATCAACACATACCAAATAGACACATTCCCCTGCTAGGTGGTCAACAGAAGAAAAGAAGATGAGAAAACAATCACTGGAAGGTTGAATCTGCTTGAGAGTATTAATCCTAGTGTACTCAGACAAATCCCCAGATTCTGAAATGAAGAGGTAGGGACCACAGGGCCTACACATCCTGCTATCACTAGGTCCCTCCCAAAGTACAAAATCAAGAAAAACTTTTAAAAAAAGTGCATCTAAGTCTTTGTAACTGAATATATAAATTATGTATTCAGTTACAATTAAGTCATGCTTTTAATAGTGAAATAATGAAAGAAGTTTCTACTAAAGTTTAAAACTAGCTAGAATTTATCTCCTCATATCAACCTGCATCCTAGTTTTCTTTATTTTTAATCAGTTTTTTTTCCTTTTTAAGAAATTTCACTTACTTACTCTTCTGTGTTGACTAACAGGAAGCTCAGAGCAAATTTAGGACTCAATTGCCAAGAACTATTTTATCCCAGGCTCTTTAACTTTCCAAAACCTTAAATTTTTTTCAGATTCAAATTATCCTACTCTATGTGTGTTTTACTATTGTTCTTGGTCCAAAATAATTTTTATAAGTAAAAGCAGGGAATATATCATGAATAAAATAAGACATCTTAATGAAAATGTAATATTTTCATACTTAAAACTGAATTCCTCCTTTGTTTAGTTTCAACATTCATTCAACATATATTAATTAACCACCTATGCACAAGGTGCTCTGCTAAGTGCTCTGCATGAAATAAATCTGTATAGGTTAAAAAGGGGGCATGAAACATTTGTACACACATTTGCATACACAATGCAAGATACGAAATGTTATATAAGAAGAACCAACACTACAAAAGTACATAGGAAGGAAGGATTTTTCTGTCTATTAAGAAGCAAGGGCATTTTCAGATTTTAAAAAAAAATTTTCCTCTTTATTTAAACATAAGATACATTTATAGCATGCAAGTTAACTTAAAATTAAATGGTGTCATCCCAGACCAAGTATTTGTGAATGTATCCTCAAGCACTGAAAATAAACCGACATATTCAACAGGTGGACTCAGACTCTTCTGTCACCTCATGTCAAATGGAGTTAAACACAAATTGAGCAGAATTTTTAAGGTGAAAAACTGTCATCTTTTGACACACAAAAAAGTTGTCTCATACATCAACTATTACATCCCTTGGCTGATAAAAGGATACATCTTGAAAATTAACATAACTATATTTTACTATCTGGGACAAACCCTGTGGTAATTGCTATATAAGTCAGAAAAGAATGCTGTTCATATATCTGACTACTTTAAATATGTTCATGATTTTTTTTACATTATTTATTTTATAACCAAACCTCATGTTTTCACTCATTACTTTTTTTTTTTTTTGAGACGGAGTCTTGCTCTGTTGCCCAGGCTGGAGTGCAGTGGCATGATCTCAGCTCACTGCAACCTCTGCCTCCCGGGTTCAAGCAATTCTCCTGCCTCAGCATCCTGAGTAGCTAGGATTACAAGTGCTGCCACCACACCTGGCTAATTTTTTTGTATTTTTAGTAGAGACGGGGTTTCACCATGTTGGCCAGGCTAGTCTCAAACTCCTGACCTCAGGTGATCCACTTGCCTCAGCTTCCCAAAATGCTAGGATTACAGGCGTGAGCCACCATGCCTGGCCTAATTTATTTAAAATAAAATATATATTGATAATTAAACCACACATAATCTCATTTAGTATATCCTTAGGAATTCCTGGCTTTAGAACTTCTCTGAAACAAAAAGCTTATTTCTATTACAGGAATCTCAAAAAATATTTTAATGGCATAAAAGATAATTCAAATAAAAGCTTTATTATACAAAAAAATAAGAATCTTTATTTTCTGATTAATACCAGTCTGTCTAGAATAATAACAATTATCATTAAGCTATGTGAATATCAGAATTACTTAAGTTATTCAATTATTTAATATTTTTCCTTTCTTTCTGAAGGCAAAGGTACTTGATAGTGAACTGGGAGTGGCAAGGAGTAGATATTTGTTGCAACAGAAGATAGTAATAGGAAGAAAAGAACATAAATTGATATAATAGGAGCATTCAGAATATGACTTACATTAACTGCTATAAGACTTGGGCCATGAGCCAGAGGAGATGGCACAGTCTTCTTTTTAAAATTATATTTTAAAAAATGTTTGGAACTCAGACCAATCTATACATAGAGTGACAAATAATTAACTCTAATAGCTCTTCTTTCTCTCTAGTTATACTGAATTGATACAGTTTTGGAATCTGTCTAGATTTATGTAAATACAGACTTAAGCTTCTACTCACCGAACTTTCAACTGTATCAGAAGCATTATCTTCCACAAAATACATTCCACATTTACCTGCAGAAAGTAATTGGATATAAGGGTTTTAAAATGCATGTGCACACTACCATTCATGGTTTAATGCATGGTCTCTGGAGTCCTTTGGTCTGAATTTGAGTCTCACTACCTAGACACAGTTCCCAGCACTCAATAAATATTTTTGAATAGTATCCATGAAGTCCTGGGCAAGTTGCTTTACCTCTTTGTGTCTTAATTTCTTTATTTAAAAAAAAAAAAGTTTGCAGGGAGCTCTATTTCACTGAGCTACTATGGGAATCAAATTAGAATATATGCAAACTGCTTATGTGCTCAGTGTTAAATAAATGTTGGCTATTTATTATTACCATTACTCTTACATTACAAGGATATTGATTTGCTTTATTTTGTTACACACTAATTGAAGTCAAGTGGTAAACCAAATTATCTAGCAAAAGGGAAATCCTTAATTATTTTGCAGACTGAGACACTCAATAGGGTAGAGTAGGCCCTAAACATAGCCCCCAACTTTTTCCTGTTTCGTAAGCTGGCTGTTGCTAACCCACGTCCCTACATCGCGTTTTAAAATATTGGGAACTTCTCTGAAGTTCTGCCCCCTGCATGCTCATCACCCTTGAGTACTGAGTGGACTCTGAACAAGTGGCATGGCTAGCTCAGAGAAGGGTACTGCCTCCATCCTTGTGAAGGTGGGGCTCAGTCCCACCAGGCTTGAAGCTCCACATCTTGGACCTTGGAGGCTGTAGCTTACAACACTCATTCTCAAATTTTAAGGTACATCAAATCACTGGAGGGCTCATCAGAACATAGACTGCTGGGTCCCACCCTCAGAATTTCAGATGCATCAAGTCTGGACTGAGGCGTGAGAATGTGCAATTCTAAGAAGCTCCCATGAGATGCTGATGCTACTAATTCAGAGTTCTCACACTTTGAGAACCTAGCCTACAGCATACATATTGGTTCTTTAAGGGAATAGAGGCCAAGTGGTATAATTGTTTTCCTTCATACTTTGAGAATAAAATTTCCAACCAAATATAACTATATAGGTATCCATGGACTAACAATCTTGGCCTTTCTCTCAGAAGTACAATAGAGAATATAAATTATGAACAATCTTAAAGTAGACATATTTCTTATGGACAGTTATATCTAATAAAATAGTAGGTAAGTATACCAATAATTTTTCACTTTAAAAAATCTAAATTGGCATATAATAAAAGAAACGGTTAAATATAAAATTACATATTCATGAAGAAATTTAATTTTATAAAAATTAAAATGCTATTCATGTGCTTTTCAGAACATAAGATATCATTTCTACACATTCATGAGTCATATGCAATCATATACAATGTTAAGACAAACTAGCCTATATGATACTACAGAAAGTTTATCCAATTTAATGGCATGGTGTCAAAAAAACACTCTAAATAATCTAAGAATAAATAAGGCAGGGTGAATATGTGAAAAATTCTTCAAAATTTGACTTACCTAGTAACAATTCACCAGCTGTCTCTCTAGATGGCGCAACACTGATACATCTTCGATTTATTCTGTCAAAACATATTTAAAATTACTATGACTAAATGCTTTGACCAATTTCAGAGAGTATATGCTTTATTTTACCTAGTAAAAGATTTCTGCAAAGCAGACTAGATAGAGCTCCAATAACATGAGGTATCTTGTTGAAACCCACATGAAAATATTAGCTCCTTTTTTAACATTCTAGTTGAAGAGAAATGACTGAAACACCTAGAAAAGGCTAATAATCCCTATAACCTGTAGACAGAATATATAAATTAAGTTATTTAAAAGATATATCAATATTTTATATTTTCTAGTAAATAAGCAAACATTGTTTCACACCTCTGATACTTCAAATACATTTTTTAAAAAAAGCCTAGTATTCTAGGAAAAACAGGATTTGGAATCAGAAAGTTCCTTTGTGTTCTTAGCCAATTTTCTTCTTTGCGTCTCAGTTTTTTATCTATGAAATCGGTATAACAACCACAATGAGAATATTATCAATAGTTAATATATAATAACATACTTAATACTCAACAATGCTATGGTACCTATTATTATTTCTTCATTTAATAGATGAGGTAACTGAGACAGACAGGTTAAGTAATTCGTCTAAGATTAAAGAGCTAGTAAGAGCAGGAACTGGAATCCGAACCTTTAATCACTACATTATATCGCCTCTTGATGATACCACCGGCAGCTCTATCTACTTTACAGAGATGTTAAACAGTCAATTACAAAATATGTGTGTGTGTGTGTGTGTGTGTGTACATGCATATGTGTGTATATATGTGTGTGTCTGTATATGTGTGTGTATGTGTATATATATATGTATACTAACAAGGGCCAGAACATGATGACTGAAATCCCATGAACCCTTGCTATCAGAAATGTCATTTCCTTTTAGATTTTGGCCATATAACCTTGTCCTCCCTTGAGCCTTTCCTGTTTAGGATTTTTCTAAAAATGATGGCATTATCTAAAATAAATATTACATAAACACTACAATAAACTGTTGTATATTCATGAAAGAGTGAAGGTCTATGGATTCAAAATTACCTTATAGATTCACTTGCAGCTTTGTCTTTGACAGTAGAAGAGAAAGAAGAATGAGTTTTGTCTTCAAATAGGTAAGAGAGTGGTGGTTTGACAACATCTGTTGAGGAGAAAAGTAAACATTATCTTTATCTAATGACCATAGTTCTCTGCTATATTTATATGTTGAGTTAAGAAGCCACTATTACCTTCTGATTTTTGTCTATCCCTAAGGAGATACTTATTTGGAATAGTTAAATAACATCTCTGTAAACGTCTCCTCTCTCGATTTGGTCCTTCTGTTGGATCCAACTGCCATGAAGTTGGATAGTAGATGGGGTCATACCATACTGCTCTGCAAGTAAAAAGATTAAAGGGTGTTTTAAGTGATCATTCAGGACTTGTAGCTATTAAAAAATCATTACAGAGATTGAATAAGTCACAACTGATCTGCTCATTTTAAAACTCCAAATATTTATACATTTGATCAGGGAATGCATATACAAGCACAAGTAATAAAATCTAAGTGTCTTTTTGCTCCTGAATCCCAGTCTCCCAGTTCCTCGCCTGAAGGCAAGATCTGCTTCCAGTTTCTTTCAACTATTAAATTTTTAAAAAGATATATAATGACTACTATGAACACTTTAGTAATACAACATGCTGCATTTAATATGGTTAGATAAAAATTTTTTTCCAAATTAACTTTTAACATTTCCCATTTTGCCTACTTTTTTTTTTTTTGAGACGGAGTCTGGCTCTGTCACCCAGGCTGGAGTGCAGCGGCACAATCTCGGCTCACTGTAACTTCTGCCTCTTAGGCTCAAGTGATTCTCCTGCCTCAGCCGCCCAAGTAGCTGGGATTACAGGCTCCCACCATGCCCGGCTAATTTTTGTATTCTTTTAGTAGAGATGGGGTTTCATCATGTTGGCCAGGCTTGTCTCAAACTCCTAGCCTCAAGTGATCCACCCACCTGAGCTTCCCAAAGTGTTGGGATTATAGGCATGAGCCACCTGACCTGGCCTCATTTTGCCTACTGTCTAATGAAACAAATAAAATCAGTTTCTTTCTGTGGTATGAATCACATTTTAAAAAAGATTTTAAAATAAATTTATATCTTAGATGAAATAAGACAGGAAAAACATATTAAATACAATTTTAGAAATAAATAAGAGAAAAAAACCACCCTTATTCATACCCTAAACATACCAAAATACTGGTAGTGGTTGTTATCTTTTTTTAAAAAAACATGCATCTGTTTTTAATTTGTAGTTATGATCATTATGATCATTTTTCTATAATTTGCCTTATTTTACAGAAACAGTATTATCTTTATCTCATTATTTTGAATGGCTGCCCAATATGAAGGCAGATGCACTGTAATGTATTTAACCATATTACTGCTAATATATAACTTGTTTCTAATTCATTCACTAGCATAAATAATGCAGAGATGGAAACTTTTATTTTCTTTTTCTTTTTTGACAGGGTCTCACTCTGTTGCCCAAGCCAAGGTGCAGTGGCATGTTCATAGCTCACCGTGGCCTTGAACTCCTGGGCTCAAGTGATCCTCCTGCTTCAGCCTCCCAAAGTCCTAGGCTACAGGTGTGAGCCACTGTGCCTGGCCTGCCTTCCATATTTTGAATATTTTCCTTAGGACAGAATCACTAAAATAGGATAACTGAAGCTAGAAGTAAAACGTTGTTAGGATTACTAATATATATTGTCAAAATGTACAATGCCACCAAAGTTCTCAGTAAGGACAGCTAATACCCTGCTGTGAATATTAGCAGCCAAAATTTTTTTTAACATAAAAAGTAAAATGTGGTATCTAAAGGTTCTAGAAAACCAAATTAGCCTCTAGCAATACTGAATATTTTCCCATGTGTTTGGTAACTCAGTTTGTCTTATGTGAGGAATGTGTTCATGCCTTTTGCTCATTCAAACTTCTGGGATCATAATATTTTACTTTAGAATCTGTATACATTTTTCAAACAATAAAAATAACTCTTTATTTGCTGAAAATATATTTCCAGGCTTTTTTGTTGTTGTTACGTTTGTTAAACACACTGGAAAAAATTAAGGTTAAAATCTATTGATTTATTTGCAGTTTCTTCTAGAAAGTCATCTATCCTTCAAAGAGCTGACAAATATCCTACTATCTTCTACTTTATAAACTTTTTGAGTAATTCTTTTAACCATTTGGAATTTACTTTAGTGTCTAATATTTAGTGTATGTTAGTACACCAAAGTCACATGAATCAGCTATCTTAACCAAATTTGGAGAATAATACCTAATTTCCCTCTTTTTGTTATTTGTAATACATATTTTAAATTAGTTAGAAAAATATATTTTTCTCAATCATCCTGTTTCAGTGATTTCTCTATTCTTTTACAAAGACCATATTTTTAAATTAAGCCAATTTTACCATCTAGACAAGCTAATGAGCCTCTCATTACTTTTCTTCCCCAGAATTAAAAAAAAACTCGTATGATTATTCTTTAAGATGAAAAAAATCACAAATGATTAAACAAAAAAAGTTTAATGAAATGATTTTATGAGTCTGAATTCTGGAAGACAAATTCAGTTTAACATCAATATCGTAAATCTTCATGGAAGACAATTTTAACCGTCCTCCCGCAGCTTACCTATCATGTGTCAGTTGCTGAATAAGTTCCTGCCAGTGTCTGCTGGCACTCAAATCTACTTTATACATTCCTCTAATGTGCTGGATCACCTTTTTTCTCTCAATTCCTTGGGAGAGAGACACTGCCTGGGTGATATCTGCAGCTATTTTAGATATATCCTTTGATTTTGAATCCAGACGCTGAAAGAGACTAAACAAATAATAAGATTGTCCATAGTTAAGAATACATGGAACGTATTTATCAAAACATGATACTTTAAAACTAAAAGTATATGTGAAATCTAATAGATTCCTAAAAGACACGCCTTTGGAACATACAAAATCTTACCTTTGTTGATTATTATTAACCGTTTTCTGCCAAGTAGCTTTATTCACTCCTTCTTCAGTTTCATATTTCCTTTGTTCCTAAAATATTTAGATAATATACTATATAAAATTTATTATTTCTCACCTAACATTGGCACAGAGCCCAACAAACTCATTTTAAAACCCAGTTAACAAAGGAAAAACGATTGTCCCTAGGAGACCAGAATATTAAAATGAATGAACCATCTAAACAATGTTATAATGTTATAATTCTGTGTCTATACAATTTAGGTCACATAAATTACAGTAGAATGGTTAACCAGGGTTGCTAAACCTGATGAGTTTACATAGTCGCTTGCCTCCTTACTCTGCTTTTTCATTAAAAACCTCTAACTCAAGGTATGTTTCAGCTTGCTTGTCACTTTAAAAGTCTTCCCTTCACTGAAGGCTAATGATAATGGATACTGATGACCACAGAGAACAAAGTGCTCCTTAAAATAAGCCTATTTTTCTTCTCTCATAGAAAAAAGCAGTACAGTATATAGGAAAAATAAAATAAAATAATCACCTCAAGTTCATCATCAATGATACTCTGTTCTTAAAAAAGTAATGTCAATCATTCTTTATCTATGATGGAATCTCCTAAGAAAGTACTATGGTTTCATTGACTCACCTCTTTGATCATTTTAATAAGGTCTGCTTTTGTTGATGCACTGGGAGGGATGCACTTGTGACCACATAACTTCAAAGCATTCATAAGTAGTTCTGCTGTGTCTAGCTCTTCTTCAGTCAATTCATCTTGGTGATTATGTATCAACTCTGACAAATACAAAACTAACTTGGCTCCATGCTTTAAAAAAAGTAATAATTTTTTAGTCATTTAGAATTTTAATTCTTACATTTAAATTACTTCATAGTAATTAAATTATATTGCTAGATTTATTTGGTTGCATCTGATTTGAATAAAGCACCTACAAAAGACATTCTGAGGATAATTACAGAAATCTGATTATGCACTGAATATTTGATGACAGACGATTAATGCTAATTTTGTTAGATGCAACAATGTTATGGTTACATAGGAAAATATTTTAAAAAAAGAATTTAGAGGTAAAATATCATAATTTCCATATATATGTTAAAATAGTTCAGAAAAAGTAGAAATGATGTCAATATAATAAAAATAGTAACTGTTAAATTTAGGTGATCATTCCATGGTATTTATTATACTACTCTTTCTACTCTCTGTATGCTTGAAATTTTTTCTTATAAACTATATTTTAAAAAGCAAGCAAGCTAGCCAGCTAGCTTTTGGGGAAAGAATTTTGGAAAGGACTTGCTAAAGGAATACAGGAAATAAAGTGGGATAAAGGAAAATAATTTTTAGTTTTTCTCACAGAAAAACTGAACTAGAAGGGAAAGCTTCCTTTAGACCTTAAAACTTATTTACTCTTCTTCCTTTGATTTCTGCTTAGTAGAAGAGAAGTTGGTGAAATTTCTAGAACTAAAACCTATCTTTAGCTTGTAAGCATTCACTACTCCCTAGGACAAAAGGTGAAAAACTCTCAAACTGGTGAGATCTACGCAGACAGTTCTATATGTATTTCCGTGGAAGAGTTGTTTTAGCCAATCTTTTATTAACAGTCCCTAAAACCAAAATTTACAGTGTTACTTAAGATAATGACAATTGTCCTTTGCAGCACAAACTGAAACCAAATGTCGATTCGTGACTTTTTAAGTGGCCCTTACATGCTGTAGATATTACACCTGACTCTAATGTGTACAGCATGTATTATTTAGACAATAATTTTGTCAACAAGTTAAACATATATATTTTACTTTAAAAATAAGCACTGACACGAATATCGCTGTATTTAGTTTTATGACATTTTTAACTGTGAATAGTATTAAATGTCAGAAAATGGATCTGGAAATGATTACATTTTGGGTGATATTTAAATTATCATGCTGAATCATATCATGTCATTTCCCAAAAACAAAAGATGAACATATGCAATAGTGAAAATAGCACAGCTCATTTTAATGCAACATTTTAAATTAGTCAGAGACAGCTGCTACCTGACCAAAAGAGAAAAATGAACAGAAGCTCTGTGAGTAAAAGGCCCAAAGAGTTGGCAAATAAATAAAAATGGTAAATGACTGGAAGATTTTCCTAAGTGTGTCTTAAAAGTAATGTTCTTGATATAACTTTAAAAATATTTCAGTTTAGCATTCAGTGACACTCTAAAATTATCTTGAAAAACTATCCGAAATGTTTTTATTCATTGTGAATATCTAAAGAAACACATGATTTTCTTAAACACTGAAGTTGTTTCTAATATCTCATTTTAATACCCTCTGATCACTTACGATTATCATTTCAGGGACTATAAAAGTGGTCATTTTTTTGGAACAGATACCAAAAAAATCTTATTTTCGGCCCTTAAAAAACTGATTTAAGGAACTGAATCTGTTAAACATGAATCCTTAGAAAATAATAAAGTGCTAAAATATGTAAAATATTTCTTTTCAAAGAAGGTTCTAATAAGGAAGAGTTCTGAGTGGACTACAGAAAGGGAGAAAGGTTTTGAAGAAGGTATAGAGTGATCTGGGTCATGGCCAAATGAAAGGATAGAATAGGAATATGGATAGACAAAGGAGAGAAAGGTGTTCTGTGCTGGTGGACAACATGAATAAAACAGCATGACAGTAAAAATAAACAGGATGTGAAGAGGTTGCAAGACACAAAGATATGATTATCTTGAAAAGAAGAGGGTCAGCAGGCTGGAGTGTTAATCAGAATCAAGTTGTGATGGCAGAAAAGAAGCCTGGGGCTTAAAAACCCAGGCAGATTCCAAATGAAATACAAATTAAATGTATGCAGCTGTGAAAAGGCATAAAGAAGATCACTCTACACTACTATGTAATAATGATCTCTAGGATATATTAAGTGAAGAAAGTAAGGTGCAGAAGAGTGTGTATACTTTGCTATCTTTCTTTGTGTTATGAAGTAGGGGAGAGAATATTTACATGTGTAAATACATGTATACATAGATTTGCCTGTATCTTCAACAGAAAAAAAAGTCAGTTACCTACACAGAGTGGGAAAGAATCTGAGGAGAAGAAAGGGATAAAAGCTAGAACCTCTCTGAATGTGCTGTTTCACAGCGTTGCTTTTAGAACCATGTAGACATTTCACGATTAAAAACAAAATTAAGCAAACAAACAAAACCCCAAAGGAATCCCAAAAAACTATAAAACAAACTGGAAAAAAAAGCCTACCTACCTACCTACCTAATTGGTTGAAGTTGGCAGCCTGACCAAATAAACTATTTAAGTGCTTTTATAATACAGTATTTTCACTGTATATGACCATAACAGTATGCTAGGAACAAAAAGAACCACAAAGACATCTTCAACTGCACTCAGCAGGATTGTTATTAGTGACCATGTTGGCCATCTTATTTTGAAAATGTTATATATGTAGAAAGACAAAGCAAATAAGTGATTATGTTAATATTAGGAACCAAGATATCAACATTAATAAGAAATACAAATAAAAAAATCCAAGAAAAAGTGAAAGCGTCAGTATAAACTCATGACTTCTTTGTCTTTCTAAAAAAATACATATTTCCTAGCTTTGTCCACGAAAAAGCCTGAGAAGAAACGACAACCCAGTAGAAATAAACATACGTAGTCCTTAGATTTGTAGTCTCTAAATGCTATCATCTCCTTAAAAGGAAATAAGGCCTTCTTGGGAGGGAAGTTGGGTTCTAGGTTTGGGGAAGGAATTGTATAAGGTGGGCCTGGGACATTCTTCTGTGCCAGAAAACAAGAAGTTTAATCATATTAACTTGTTAAAATGAAAAAGGCCATGTCGACCCAACAACTTGAATCTACAGAGGTGTTAATTTTAATATCAAACCAAATAATGATTGCAAAAGACTAAAACACATAACATTTATTTTAAAATACCTGAGTTCCTAATGATACTCCAAAAATAAAAACAAATACAAAAATTAGAGGCCACTAGGGGCATGAACTCATCATTCTAAAAATTAATAAACAGGGAAGGAAACAGCATTTATCCTGCCTTTCCTTGACTGACTGTACTTAAAGGCAGCCAAGGTGCTGGAGCCGCTGCCCAAGAGTCCGGATCTCACTGCCACGTGCCCGGACACCCGCTGGACACGCATTCCCGATTCCTTTTGTTTCCAAGTCCAATATGGAAACTCTCGAGGATCAGCCGATTCATAATCTTCTAAAGGAAGAAGAGATTCCCCAGAATAAGATTACCGTTGTTGGGGTTGATGCTGTTGGCACAGCTTTTGCCATCAGTATCTTAATGAAGGACTTGGCAGGTGTACTTGCTCTTGTTGATGTCATGGAAGACAAATTGAGGGGCGAGATGATGGATCTCCAACATGGCAGCCTTTTCCTTAGAACATCAAAAGTTGTCTCTGGCAAAAACTATATGTAACTGCAAACTCCAAGTTGGTCATTATCACAGCTGAGGCACATCAGCAAGAGGGAGAAAGCCGTTTTAATTTGGTCCAGTGTAATGTGAACTTCTTTAAATTCATCATTCCTAATGCTATAAAATACAGCCTGAACTGCAAGTTGCTTATTGTTTCAAATCCAGTGGATATCTTTGACCTATTGTGGCTTGGAATATAAGTGGCTTTCCCAAAAACCGTGTTATTGGAAGTGGCTGCAATCTCGGCTCAGCCCAATTCCGTTACCCAATGCAGGAAAGGCTGGGAGTTCACCCATTAAGCTGTCATGGGTAGGGTCCTTGGGGAACATGGAGATTCTAGTGTGCCTGTATGGAGCGGAGTGAATGTTACTGGTGTCTCCCTCAAGACTCTGCACCCAGATTTAGGGACTGATATAGATAAGGAACAGTGGAAAGAGGTTCACAAGCAGGTGGCTGAGAGTGCTTACAAGGTGATCAAACTCAAAGGCTACCCATCGTGGGCCACTGAACTCTCTGTGGCAGATTTGGCAGACAGTATAATGAAGAATCTTGGGTGGGTGCACCCAATTTCCACCATGATTAAGGGTCTCTATGGAATAAATGATGATGTCTTCCTTAGTGTTCCTTGCATCTTGGGACAGGACAGAATCTCAGACCCTGTGAAGGTGACTCTGACTCCTAAGGGGCCGTTTGAAGAAGAGTGCAGTTCCACTTTGGGGGATACAAAAAGAGCTGCAATTTTAAAGTCTTCTGATGGCATACCATTTCACTGTCTAGGCTACAACAGGATTTTAGTTGGACGTTGTGCATATTGTCCTTTTTATCTGATCTGTGATTAAAGCAGTAATGTTAAGATGGACTGGGAAAAACGTCAGTTCCTAAAGTTAGAAATAGGAATGGTTTGTAAAATCCTACAGCTATATTCTGTAGGTACTATATCCTGTGGGTAGCTATATCCTATAGTACCATCCTGTAGGCTGGATGATACTAATCTTGTGTAGTCCTAAACTGGTTGGTGTGAAATAGTTCTGCCACCTCTGAGGCACCACTGCCAATGCTGCCCATGCTGCAGTTGCCCCTTGAGCCAGATGGATGTTTACCGCGTGTTATATAAATAACTTCCTGGCTCCTTCACTGAACATGCCTGGTCCAACATTTTTTCCCAATCAGTCACATTCTGGATCCAGTGTATAAATCCAATATTGCATGTATGGTGCATAATTGATCCAAACAATCTTATTTTGTGAACTCTATATATCAGTAGTGTGTATTATGTAAAGAGATTACATATTATCATATTATGTAAAGAGATCTACATATAAACAATGCAACCAACTATCCAAGTGTCACACTAACTAAAACCCACAATAAATCTTGTACAGTCAAAAAAAAAAAGAAAAAAAAAGGTAGCCAAATAGTTGACAAGGGAAAGTTCTTCCCTATAGAAAAGTCAGAGCTTATAGATGTTGATGGAATGACAGGCTTAGAGATATCACTATTTTGTAACTCTAATGAAAAAGTGGATCTTGGCAATTAACAGTGGTTGCTAAAACTATTAGGTTAAAGACAATATACTCAGTCTTCGTGGGTGAATAAACAACTGGCCTTGGTGATGAAATGGATTGAGAGAGAGAAGAAAAAGTCAACAACAACAACAGTTAAAATTTTCAAGCTGAAATTCAATAATGATTGACAGACATGAAGTAGTGGGAAGACATGACAGACATGAAGTAGTGGGGAAGGGAAGATGGTATGAGAAAAAGTGGACTGTTAACACTGCAGTTGAATTTTGATGGATAGCAACTTTGCTGAGTATAAAGGAAAGAAAAAAACACCATTTCAAATTCTCCACAGAAGGAAAATACAGGCTAAATATGCTTCTGTCTTGGGAAAAGGAAGACAGTGCCCTCAGTGTACTTGAAAGTATGTTAATACTGGAAAAATCACCTAAAAGTATCCCTTCCAATAGTTTTGACTCCTAATATGAGTTTTCCATGTATTAAAAGGGGATACCTATCCTTTTTAATATACCCTCTCTCATCTCTATTGAGGTATAACTTACATATAATAAAGCATACATATATTAACTGTTTCTATGAGTTTTGACAATTGCATACATCCATTTAACCACTACTCAAAATAAGATCTTATTTTTATCACCTCAGAAAGTTCCCTTAAACCTCTTTCCAGTCAATTCCCTTTCTCACCATCCCCCTTCCACAGAGGCAACTACTGTCCTGAATTCTATCATCATATCTTGGTTTTGCTTGTTCTTTCAGATGAACAGAATCACAGATTGTACTCCTTTGTGTTTGGCTGTCTCTTTCCCCGCTCAGTGTTCCTGAGATTCATCCATAATGGTAGGTGTATCAGTAGTCCGTTCCTTTTTAAAGCTGTATAATAGTCTATACAGTGCTGTAGAATAGTCTATATAGATTTCTCTCTACAGGTATAAAGAAATCACAATTTGTACATTCTTCTGTTGGTGAGCATTTGAATATTTCTAGTTTTTGGTTATTATGAAAAAAGGCTGCCATGGATATTCTTAAACAAGTCTTTCAATGAATATATGCTTTAATTTCTCTTTTAGGTAAATATCTAAAAATGGAGTAACATGGTCACAAGTTAAATATGTTTAGGCCGGGCGCAGTGGCTCAAGCCTGTAATCCCAGCACTTTGGGAGGCCGAGACAGGCGGATCACGAGGTCAGGAGATCGAGACTATCCTGGCTAACTCAGTGAAATCCCATCTCTACTAAAAAATACAAAAAACTAGCCGGGCAAGGTGGTGGGCGCCTGTAGTCCCAGCTACTCGGGAGGCTGAGGCAGGAGAATGGCGTAAACCCGGGAGGCGGAGCTTGCAGTGAGCTGAGATCCGGCCACTGCAGCCTGGGTGACAGAGCGAGACTGTCTCAAAATAAATAAATAAATAAATAAATAAATAAATATATATATGTTTAATTTTATAAGAAACTGTTAAACAGCCCTCCAATATGGTTTAATGTACCTTTTAAACTTTCCAACTACCACTCTTGAAGTGGTAAACTTTATACACTCTGAAATTCTTTTAGGTATTTTGGGTTTGATTATTCCAAATGATTAATAATTTTTTTCTATTTTAACTGACCACACATATTTTTGAGATATGTTGTATGTATTGTTGTTTGAGCTATTCAATATAGATGTTTCACAGGTAATATAATGCTTTTTAAAAAGCCTCCAAACAATCCTTAAAGAAAACACTTCAAGATATGTTAACACATTACAAAGTATCTGACAGAAACTCTGAAACAGAACTTCTTAATTTAGGCACTAGAAAAAAGATTGGGAAATAAACACACAGGTTAAATTGAGCCTGTGTAAAAGCACCTAAGGAAAGGCCTTAGGTTAAATTTGCTTGGTAAGAAAATTATAAATTAGGCATGAAAATTCAATTTAATTTCAGTTCTTGTTTTATTCAGACTTTAGATTTCACCAAAAGTTGTACTTATCTTATCAAAGCTGAGACACTTACTTGTAGGGATGGGCTGAGACAGTCTCGCAGTATTTCCTGATGATTTGGTTCATGAAGTATTTCAAAAATTTGCTTTCTCTCTTGTGCAGTGTGGGCTGGTGACAAAATATGCACTAGGAGTCTCCCAAGCTGCGTTCGGAAGGTCTCCTTACAAGACCACAGAATTTTAGTCCATTGCTGCTTGGAACCACTGGCTTTACTTGAACCCTAAAATCAATCAAGATAGGAATGAATTAGGATCAGACTGCTTAAGCAATACCATGCTAGCCTCAACACAGCCCTAAAGAAGATTATAGAACATGTTTTATTCCAGATTGGTTTTCATAGTCAAAATTAGAAAGATATATACATAACCATACACACAGGAGTTTAAAAGAGATGGGCATACAACGTTCATAGCAGCATCACTCAAAATAGCCAAAAGGTGGAAACAGTCTGAACGTCCATCAGTGGAAGAACAGATAAACAAAATGTGGTATATACATACAATGGAATATTATTCATCCTTAAAAAGGAAGGAAATTCTGACACATGCTACAACATGGATGACCCTTGAGGACAGAATGCTAAATAAAATAAGGCATATACAAAAGGACAAATAGTATATGCTTCTATTTATATGAGATATCTAGAACAGTCAAATTCACAGAGACAGGAAAGTAGAATAGTGATTACTGGGTAATGGGGGAAGGGGTGGTAAAAGTTATTATTTATTAGGTACGGAGTTTCATTTGGGATAATTAAAAAGTTCTGGCCAGGTGCAGTGGCTCACACCTGTAATCCCAGCACTCTGAGAGGCCGAGGCAGGTGGGTCACCTGAGGTCAGGAATTCGAGACCAGCCTGGACAACGTGGTGAAACGCTGTCTCTACTAAAAATACAAAAACTAGCTGGGTGTGGTGGTGGGTGCCTGTAATCCGAGCTACTCGGGAGGTTGAGGTGGGAGAATCGCTTGAACCTGGGAGGTGGAGGTTGCAGTGAGCCGAGATCGGGCCAGTGCACTCCAGTTGGGGAGGCAGACTGAGACTCCATCTCAGAAAAAAAAAAAAGTTCCTAGAGATGGATGGTGGCAATGGCTGCACAATAATATGAATATACTTAATGCCACTGAATTGCATCCTTAAAAAAGGTTAAAATGGTAAATTTTATGTTAGGTATACCTTACCACAGTTTAAAAGAAGAGACGGATAAAGAAGCTAAAGTCCTAAGCCATGAAAAAATTACCAAAGGCTCAAAAATTATAAATTAAAAAAAAAAACTATCAAAGAGCAATGATAAATAAGCCTACACTGATTTTGCAATAAAAAAGAGAAAGGATTCATAATAAAGACTCGAATTGTGCTACTTTATTGAGTGTTAGTCACAAATTAAGCACTGCATATAGCAGTACCCCTTACCTGTGGTTTTGCTAAGCACTGCATATAGCAGTACCCCTTACCTGTGGTTTTGCTTTCCACAGTCAACCATGGTCTGAAAATAGTTACGTACCGTACAATAAGATACTTATTCACTGTAAAAAGAGACTACATTTATATAACTTTTATTAAAGTAGATTGTTATAACTGTTCTGCTTTATTATTATTGTTAATCTCTTACTGTGCCTAATTCACAAATTAGACTTTATCATAGGTATGTATGCATGTGAAAAAACACAGTATATATAGGTTTCAGTACCATCTGTGGTTTCAGGAATTCACCAGGGGTCCTGCAAGGTACCCCTGAAGATAAGGGGAAACTACTCTATGGGTTTACCATAGAGTATTCCCTAACAATTAACCAATTGTTTTAACAATGGTCCCACTAAGCCTAGCCAAATGCTGATCAAATCACTTGTACATGGTTTAAAACTGGAAGCAGTACATTCAGAATTCATTCTGAGTTTTAGAAACAGCTCCTCTCTAATTACGTCTAGTCCTAAGTAAGGACTCTGTGAGCGAATCTGCACTTGGTTTTGCTGTTCAGAGCTAAAACACCAAAATCTAGTTTAGATTTAGAGACTGGCATGTCATGATTTATGAGTGCTGCTAGAATTAGATTGGCTTTTGCTATCTATGTAGTAAACTGACCAACTTGTTCCATTGTGTCAACTGTAAGTGACCCACAGAAACCCAAGTGAGATGATGATAAATGAACCGTGACACTTATCAGTATTCTCTACGTAATTTTAAAGGTGTTAGATACACTTAGGCCAAGATCTAAAATTCATAATAATTCAGAAAACTGAGAGTAAGGAGCCATAAATACAGTCCTGTAAAAACAATTAATGTAAACTCTCATAGTAGTCATCAATGACGACGATCTACTCTTTTCTGATGCTGATCTTACTAAACTACAACACTAGAAAATAGCTTCTAGGGTTACAGGCTTAAAAAGTAATGCTGCATGAGTGGAGTCATTTTGGAAAGGGTGAATTAGCAATATATATTGTTCTCTAATTAAAAATTCAAGTTGTCCAAGTTTTAAAAAACTCTCCGAAAGAGCACAAAGAAATACGATTGTGAAAACGTATAATACAGTCAACATAAAACCTCTATTTCCTTTGTGTGAATGAACGTTTCACATGTAATTAATTTACTTACAATAGATACTTTGAATCCTTCTACCAGATATGTAAAAATTTCTTTCTGAAATGGATTGAAAACAGAAGACTGTTCATGATGCATATTTTCCTCAGAAATTTCAGTCTGGAAAACTGAGGTCTTGCTTTGAGTTACATTTTCTGGAGTTCTCAAAATGTCAATAATGTCTGAATTAAACTCTTTGAATTGAAAAAAAGAATACAAGGTTAGTCATACCACTACTATCTAGCCATTATAAATAGTAATAATACTGGTAAAAATATTGTTTTTCATTACTAATTCAGTTATCACAATTTAAAAGTTTATCAGGTGTATTAGATGTAGTAGATACACTGTAGTAGAAAGTGAATTCATGTAAAATAACAGAAATTTCAAAATGCATGTCATACAATTCCAAATTAAATATTTATTGGCTAATGAAGGTAAGTTAAACTGCAAAATGATTCAAACCATGAGATTATTATACAAATCGAACATAAAGACCATGTCATATTTACAGGAGTGGATCTACAGAGCTGTTTCTCTGCATGTGCTATCCATTTACATGCTGTATATGTAATAATCATGGCTCAAGAGTTTAGTCTGGGAGTCTGTTGCACAGAATGTACATTAGAAAAGTTAAAAAAAAAAAAAAAAGAAGCTGGGGACAATGGCTCACGCCTGTAATCCCAGCACTGTGGGAGGTGAAGGCAGACAGATCGATCACCTGAGTCAAGGAGTTTGAGATCAGCCTGGGCGACATAGTGGAACCCCATCTCTACAAAAAAATACAAAAATTAGCCGGGCATGGGGTACACACCTGAAGTCCCAGCTACTTAGGAGGCTGAGATGGGAGGATTGCTTGAGCCCAGGAGGTAGAGGTTGCAGTGAGCTGAGATCATACCACTGCAATCTAGCCTCGGTGACAGTGAGAACCCATCTCAAGAAAAAAGAAAAAAAAAGAGAGAGAGAAAGAAAAGTAAAAAAAGCTAAAAAAAGAAAAAAAAACTTGAGTTTATCATGTTTTTCTAGTGATTAACAATTACCGTTTTCTTTTTCCTGTCTTCCTGGGGTTACCTGAACATTTTTTTAGAATTCCATTTTGAATTATCTATAGTGTTTTTTTAAAAACAATTTTCAGCTTTATTGTAATATAATTGACAAACAGAAATTGTATATAATTAAGATGTTTTGATATATGAATACATTGTCAAATAATCACCATAATGAAGCTAGCTAACATATCTAACACCTCACATAGTTACCATTTTTTTGGGTGTGTGGTGAGAACATTATTTATAGTGTTTTGGAGTGTATTTCTTTGAATAGCTTTTTTTAGTGGCTGCTCTAAGTATTACAATTTAAGTATGTACATATATATTCATTAGCCAATATGGAAATGCAAATTAAAACCACAATGAGATATCACTACACATCTGTCAGAATGGCAGTTCTGCAAGATTCATTGAGGGAAACTGGGTAAAGGATATACAGGGTCTCTCTCTGTATTATCTCTTAACTGCATGTGAATCTACAACGATCTCAAAAGATCATACTGGAAGTGCCATACGGTTTTAAACTGGTCAATCTGGGCTAGCATTGAACACATTGAAAGTGGACTTTTATTTAAGACTTACCAGTTCCAAATAAGAAACTCTTAATAATATGGATGTTAAGAACTGAAAAATAATGTTGCTTAAACATCTGAAAACTAACCACTTTCCTCTTAGATTACTTCTCTTTCATTTTAAAAGCTGAAGAAAACAAACTAACCCTATAGTCTTACCTTGATAAATAATCCTGTTGACTGCTAAAACGGTGAGCCTCTGTAGTCTCTGTGCAAGTTCCGTTTCAGTCGCCTGGCTAGGGTTCTCCTGGCTCATTCTCCGTTGCATCATCACATGAAGCTCATCATTTGCCACCGAACGCATTTTCATCAGAAGCGATTCAGTTTGAGCAAGTGGAAATTTTCGAGGACCTTCAAAAGTATATAAATTAAAACATCAAATGCCAGTGTTAATAAGGATCAAGGAAACTATTTTTGCTGAAACTTTTTGATTACCAGACCGTGAAAACAACCTTATTTACTACAAAGTCAATTTATACAAAGGAGAGAGTGATTAAGAGAAAATGATGTTTCTCCCTCTTTCAAGAAGTGCAACAGTACTTTTGGTTTCAAAGTCCTAAATAACAATGTTGAAGCTAGTGACATAGCTTAGTAAAACAGATGTCATTTGGCAAAGTTCAAGTTAAAAAGTATTAAATGGGCTTAACTAGTTTAGAACATTTTGATAAAATAGTTTCAAATACTGTTTCACTTCTTTGTATTCCAAAATCAAGTTTTAATGCACATCATTTTTTAGTAAGAATATTACTATTTCTGGATAATTACTGTTGTTGAATTTCATAAAGTAGTTTTAAAAATTGTATCTAGTGACAAAGTAGAAATCAGTCAATGACAGTGAAGAGATCAGAAAGGTGAATATAATTCCAGTGATTTGTTATTAAAATGATTTAGAACACATGCATCATTTGGAATTCAAAGCAACAAAGGCATTTCCTGAGAAAGGTTTCCTCAGACTGAACACAGAGGAGTGGCATTCCTGCGCCATTACTGCACCTGCTCCAGGAGGTACAACACAGGTAGTGCATCCAGGAGAAAACTGGGGGCATGAGTCTTGATTTAATGAACTGAAGGAGAAGGGCATCGGAAGTTGACCATAGGAACCAAAATGATGTCTTGGTAGATGAGGAATAATAGAACCCTTCATTGGAATTGAACCTTTGTTTTAAATTACGAAAACATATATCAATTTCTATAAATAACCTCTATAAAAATTACATATGACTAAATTATAACAGGTTTTAATGACTTATCCTGTAAGCTATTTAAATATTTTAATACTATTTTAGATTGCTTACTATTTTGGGTAATTAGTATTCTTAATCAGTTAATATATTTTGGTAGACAGTCACTTTTGAGGCAAAAAAAAAAATACAAAAATTCATATCCTGTATATATTCAAGAGTTATACTGTCAAACAATATACTGAGTTTAAGAAGATTCTTCCTAATGTCTACATCTGATAGCTTTCATGCTGTATGTGCAGCTGATGATTGTAATTCAGAGGTATGACAATACACTGAATAAGGAAATGTTAAGTAGGTCTTTTTTAATACTATGTATTAATACTAGAAAAAGTGGGAGGGTATTTCAGCACTCCTGCTGTGAAGCCACACAGAGCTAGTATGGCCTTAAGCACATTTCTTTCTAAACCTCAGTTTTCTCATACATAAGATGCAGATTAGAAAGAAAACAGAGCTTACTTCACAGGTGGATATTTATCACTATCTGACACTGTATTAAATATATTTGTTTATATGCTTATTCATCATTTCCCCCAGTACAAGTTCCATGAAGACAGGTAATATAGTAACTGGTACATGGTTGGTACTCAAGAAATATTTGATGTTTGATGGTTGAATAAACGGATAAAGAAAGAGTCATTTTGTTGATAAAATAAAATAATGAATGTAAAACGTAATGCCTGTCTAATTCTCACAAATAATAAAATACTTTTAATGGTTAATATTATTATTGGTTGAAATATAAAGTTCATTTGTATGTGAATTACTAATATAACTGTGTATGTGAGTGTATGACAATTTAAATATATGTCTAGCATTCTAAATAATATCCTGATGCTGACTACTTCTACCTTCATGCATTAAGAGTGATGTGTAAAGTTTTTCATATTAATAAGCAGACAAGTAAAAAAATACATTTAAAAGTGTATATTGCTACCTTATTTATACTAGCAAAAATCAAGCAAAAAAACCTTTGTTTATCTATAAAAGTTAGATTATCCACATCAAAATAACAGATTATTTTGCAATCATTAAAAATAAAAGAATATTTATGTTTCTTAACATGGAAAAATATCTATAATAAATGACTAGAAATAGAAATCAATTTATAAACAGTAGGTAGAGCATGATACCATTTAGGTAAAATTACATATAAAGGTATGTATAGATACAGATATCTAGACCAAAAACAGATA